CGTCGCCTCCGCGCCGCGCTCACCACCGTCACCAATATGGCTGCCGCCTGCCATTCCGCTACACCACACCACAACACCACTCCACACTATACCGATAGTGAGCACACATCACTGGTACTTATATTTGGACCTAATCAATTATGAAAAGACTTTAATTAGTTAGTTTTTTATAGGACCTGCATTATCATTGCCTGTGTCAAATAATTTTTCGCGTATCGTGTCTTTGGATTTGAATATTTGCCAATGTAATACGCAGAGTCCAACTAGAATTTATACTACTTTTTCGTGTAGACATATCTTCAAATTTGCCGTCCTGGTACTAACATTTTTATGGAACAGTATATGTTACATGGAAGTGTTGTTCTTCCCGTCTTTCAAGACGATTTGACCCGACTCTGCCATTCGCATGGTAATCCGGGCTGAAAGGAGGCATCAAAATCTAAAGGAGGACACTAATCCTCACTCTGCGTTTTTCACATCCTTGTGTGCAAGTGTCCTTCTTAGCCCTGGTTGCCTTAGTATTCCTCCCTTTTCAATACAACTGCATGGTTACTCTCGCTAACACTACACATCTTTTGACTGACTTGGCCATCTTTTTACATTTACAGCGATTCACGTACTTTTGCCATGGATCAATCTAAAACTGACAAATCCGTGACGCCGAGGCCTCAAGTCGTGTGCATCGACGTGGTGCCGTCCGCATTCTTGATCTCCCCTCAAGTTGACCAGCGTCTGAGGGTATACGCTAAAATGCTAGCCGAAAAAATTGCAGAGGCGGGATCCATGCCTTCAGTAAATGTAAGTTATCTACAATGTTCGTCCCGTGAAACGAAAAAGGAGAGACGCGCGTCGGAAGCTACTCACGTCCAGGTTTTCAGAAACCCTATTTGGTGGAAATATCTACCTCCTGTAAGTTGATTTTGACCGGTCCTAACTCTGCACCATATGAGCTCTGTTTACCTTTAAAATAATAAGATGTATCTAGATTTTATCAGAACATTAGATTCCTCGTGTAGTAGTGCTGGTTTATCATGACCTTCGAAATCTTTTTCACTCGATTTTATGTGCTAAGAACATATATGAGTGGTTTTTTTAGTTTCCCAGCCTCTGGGCATGATAACTAGAAGTAGTAACTGCTGTCGTTACAGTAAATGATATTGTTCTACCAGTCTGCAAAAACCAGATGCCATAACATTCACCGTATTTCTAATAGCCTTCTGGGTGTATTGAGTTTATGTAACAAATTTGACATAACGGTGTGTAAGATGCTAGTTTCTGTGGTGGCATTGTTGACTACCACTTTCCTTCCATAAGGTTTGCTCCCGTGACTTTAATGCAGTGATTTGCCAATGAGTGAATTATGTTTAGTCTTCTACTTCAGGCTCCAGTTGTGCATTTTACACATTGGTCCTGATTGACTTATTGACCTATTGCCATGTGAGCGACCCCTCCTCTGCTTAGCTAAACGACATGACTCCGCCATGCGCGTGATTAGATGCATATGACGTTGCGTTTTGCGGGGTGTCTCGTTTCATCTCATAACAGCAGTATACTGGACTGGGCCATCTTCACATCATGCTTAATTTTACTTCGCTCGGGCTAGGTTCAATCATTTTTAATTAGACATTATTGATTGGCTTCTGACATGTATTGGACTGTCTTAGAACATTATTTATGCCTGTAATAGTAATAGATCACTTTTAGGTCAGAGGCAATGTGCAATCACTGGACACTCTCTCCATATCATGCAGTCTTTTTATCCGTTCTTTTAGCACCTCAACCGTCATTATTTTTGTGAATAGGTTCTGTTAGTCAGACTAGCTAGGTTATCCTAGTAAAATAAAGTTGTGTATTTTTTAGTTTTATGTCCACGAGAAAACCCCAAACCTAGAATGCGGTGATGATACCACGCCGTTTGTTCGCTCCTGGCAATCAATCCTTAAAATGAAATATTTTTACGAAGGTCTTAGAAGTCGTTTAGCAGCTATTTCCAAGTTACCAATGGGTCTCTGCCTCGCCGAGGATCAGCATGCCTTGGAAGTTCAACATCACCGTCATGAAGGCCGTCTTACTCCAATTAACCTTCGCCTAGGTGTTCCCACCTTAGACGTTGATGCGAATAGTCTTTTGGCGACACCACCTTCCCTTGCCTGGGCCCTCACTGTTACCATGGAGTTCAATCGTCTTCAGGCAGAAGATGAGAAGACCCGGAGATTGGATTCAAATTTGACTGTTAAAACTGTTGGTGTACTCGAGAACTGGATTGAATTTCTTACTTATGGTACGCTACTCACGGACGACATTAACAAGTCCTCTGTTGTCGGTGGAGACAAGGTAAATTGTTTACTTTGTTGGCCAAAGTTAGTGACTTCTTCCACATATGCCTGCATGGCTCAAACTTCATTTCTGGGTCATAAGCTGGCATGGTAAAGCCCTTCAGCTCTTGCCTCGTATTCGATCATTGGCCAGTTCCACATCACAGGTACTTGCCAACCGTGTAGCAAAGTGTTATTAGTCTCAAGCTAATTTATTGAATCACTGAGTGCACACTACTGGCCATGATTGCACGTTAAAATTATGAGAACAATCAAAACCAAGTGCCATTGCAGCTTACCACGCGGGTTAATTTCCATTTTGGGAAGAGCACTCTTTTCTCGCATATTTTCATGTAGCGGTAAATTATTCAGCACACCACCTATTCCTCTGCTCCTATTGGTGCCCTACAGGAAGTCCTTAAGACCACTTAATTTTTTTGTATCTTTGCCATCAGTGGTAAGTGTATGCGAAGAGTGCACTTTGCTGCAGTAGTACGCACCCAAATGTACCTTTGTCAAAGACTCTGTTTATGTCCTTTTTGTGCTTGTTAGCTACTCTCAAACACCACCTCAATGGTTCAACGTGTCTCCTGCGAACCTCCCATTATCACTATTGTCATAGATCCGGTCACTAAAGGTGACTTAGAGCGAGGCTGCGTTGAGGTTGATACGGAGGGAGTAGATGAACAGTTTCTTCACATCGAATTTGCTTGGCGCAACGCCGTGACCAACCAAGTTTCCGACGGATCCGCCATACTTATCTGCGACGATGATCTGAAGACTTCCACCGAAGCTACGGCACACAAGGTCATCACCCTCTGTCAGGAGCGCCTATCCATCACTGCCGCCCCCTCAAGTGGTTCCACTTAATCGATCTCCATTAATGTTTGTGTCTCCTTCAGCTCTTCTTTCGAATTTATCCACGCTATTACTGTTGTTGTTGAACCTTTCTACATGATTTTAAGTCCATTTTGTACCCAAAATATTTGGTGTTGCCTGGCAACAAATATTACAAAAAATAGCTTATTACTGTCATATGGGCTCCAGGCTCTATGGATATAACCACTTATCTGGGTCGCGTTCCTTCATGAAGGTCCCCGAGACCAGGCTTTCCACAAAGTCAGCAGTTACAAATTTCTCCGTCGTTTATCGCATTCGCCCTCCCCATTTTATCAGCTTAATTTTTTCTTGCGGTTAGGGTTGCCGAAATTGTAAGGAAGCTTTGCCTACACACTGCCTTGCTTCGGACAAGTGACTCGCGTATTGGCTCTCAGAGTTTCTGCTTGTCAGTAAATGCAACACTCTTGAACGTCACCACGGCATAAATGTAACAACACGTGAGGTGTCAAATTCCTGTATCAGTGTGCAACAGGCACTTATTATTGCAAAGATTGGAGTTGCCTCAGTTGTCGGAATTTAAAGGATCTCCTAATTGCCATTGTGCAATTATTAAACACGCGACATTTGTCGACTCACACTTACATGGTTTCTATTTGTCACAGCACTGTAGGTACCAAAATTGCTCGGATTACAACACACAAGTTTACAGTGGGACGCCCACTCCCACCCAGAACCCTATTGCGCCAACGTCCTGGCCCATTCTAATGTTATTTAATCTGGATGCCCTTTACACAAACGAACAACATAAAAGCTTACTAATTTAATGGGTGTGTTTAAGCAAAGCCTACTCAATCACCTGGTTGGGATCAATAAAGTATCCAATGAAGGAACATCCCTTTATTCTCTATTAACGCGCTTACACATGTTTTTGTTCCCCTAAAACAAATGTTGATTTATATCCTTGACCGGATAAGCAGTGAAGCCCCAGAGATAAGCAAGAATAATAGGCTACATCAGAACACAAAATAGCAACATGCGAGGCTTCCTGGTACCATCGTGTTACTATCAAAAGACTGATAAGACAACAACCGTACAGCGTACGTTGCTTATCTAGTTGAGCTTTTTCCAATAATTAGGAAGGGGAGTGTTTAACTATTATAATCAGTTAAAGGTATTAGACTAGTTATATCCCATACAATCGACATCTGAGTCAACACAGATGTCGCGCGAATCAAATCTATTCTGCGCAACGGCGCCAAGTGGTGTCTGTCTCCGATTGGTTCCCTACAGTAACACATGTTTATAGCAATTAAAACGAATTGACCAGGTTTGGGAGATTAAGGAAGAGGAGCGGCAGTTTGTGGGTTACATTACATTTGAATTTCGCTGATGCTGGTTGAGGTGAAAAGGGAATAAATATTTACAAAGTGAGGATGCAAACAAATGGTTTTAAAATAAACTTCAGAAGGGACTTGCTGAGTCGATGGGGAAATTACGTTGTCAGAGAGACATGCATTGATAGAAAATCGGTTCTCGGCAAGTTTGGTGAATGCGAGGTGCTGTAAAACGTTGCGAGTGGATAAATGATGAAATCACAGGAGCAATGCTCTGCGATTTCAACTCTAGAGACAAGTGCATTTCATTTTCCTGGGCCGCTGTTTCTGACTTACTGGTGGGAAATTCAGAGGTTGTTTTCTGAAAATAATTATGCATGTTTAAGCAGAAGGACAAAATGATGGGCCGCATGAAATAAGCTTCAAAGAGACGAGGGGAATGGACATTGATGGACATTCTGCAGAAATGGAGGCTCTGACGGTTGTAAATGACGTGGACAGAATGCAGGTCAAGTAAGCCTGTGGATTTTGCTAGTCCACAAGACTAAATCGTGACGCTGCCGACAAAACATGCTGTTTGAGCCAGGAAACTAGACAATGGTGCTGATGTACACCATAAACGAGTGATTCTGGCCTGACTTTGCCTCGACACTATTCACAAAGTTATAATCTGCTTTGACAAACTGGATTAAAACAGTTTGAAAATGGGGTTAACCGTTCTAAATAAAATAAAACGCCCCACAGTGCGTGTAAGGAGGTTTAGCAGTACTTCCCGCGTACGCGGAGGAGCATATAATAGACGCATATATTTGGCGATTATTTGAGGTGCCAAGCGCAAAGATGAATGCAAGACTATAGCAATTTTAATATTAAAATATCTTCGTTTTCTATTTCATTTCGTGTACTCTCGAAGGTAGCAATTTCATCTCAGTAACTTTCTATGCAAAATCGCGAGGCCCTTCATTTCCGAAACTTCACATTTTGCAGCATTAGATGGGAAAACAACCAGACCACAGTCACGTATCTACGTCAAACGAAAGCGAGAAAAAACACGAGCCCCCCGAAACCCGCATAGGTTAATCTTGGTGTCTCTCACACAACACAAGAGAGGAGGAATCAGCAGTTGCAAAAATGAATAGGACAGCGGAATTTTAAGTCAACTTCATTACCAGATTTAAATAGAATGTCTTTCACTACATCCGGATCCTTGTGAACAAGCTTTTAAACTAATAATTTATACATTTATGAACGAAACTTACCGAATGATCCGTATCAGGTCATGGAATATCAGATCCACGTTGACAGGAGGATTTTTTGCACTGGTTTCAACATATTGAACCTAAAATGAATATGCTTTAAAAGTGGCTTGTATCTGCTATCCTGTTTCATCATGTAGCATAAGTCAACAACGACTACAAAGTTACTTCTGATGGAGAGCAGTCGAGGTTACAGATGATACCGAAATTACGAAATTGAAGCAACCAACTACCATTGGTAAAACGCGCTGAAGCCGCGCATTGGTCTCTGGAGTACTAAGCTGGACATAAAGCAGCTGCTAAGTTGAAATAAAACGCAGGTTAATTAGACGGCGGTGCAATTTTGGGGCTTCTCTGCAGCAACTGCGAGGCTTCATTAACTGTACTCACACACCCTCTTCGCGGTTATCGCTTCCCTTCCAAATGCATTTGTGGGTCATGCGCATCATTGACATACTTGCCATTTCGAAAGGCTACCAGGAGTGAGCACGGTCCGATCGTGCACACACTGCTTTTAAAGTTTTTCAGTGTGCTTTACTACCAGATGATTCAGCAGATCCTGCACACATCAAGCACTAGTGTAGAATGGTTGCATGTTTCGATCAATGCTTCCACATTAATTACGTCTATTTTCGAGCACTACCTTCGCCTGTACACTAACCGCAGATACGTTCTTCAAAAGTTCATACACCGTTCGGACAAATCATATCGCTTCCGTTTAACACATTCCATGGGATTATTACGATGCTCATTCTTTCAACAGGTGCAGTGAATCACAAACGAAGAAGAGATGTGTTTCTGTAAGACGTTAACAGCTACTAGAACGATGCAGCTCGACGTAAACATGGCGGCAGTGGAAAATCAGTTATTCATGACAGGTCAAAGACGAAAAGTACACGTATCTGGATATTGTTGCAGAAAATATGTATGTTGCGAATTGCGTTGATTACATTCGCTAAACCGATCACTCCAGCCTTCGTGCGGATACTCAACTCTCCCATCATTAGCACAAACATTTATCCTGGATTACCCTCACACCTAGGTCTCGATGTTGGCTCATCTATCACCCATACATCCCAGGTATAAATACACACGCACAAACACCACACACGACACCAACGTGGTTGAGCCCTGAAGCAAACGGTTGTGCCCACGTCCTCCTCTGTCTTTTCCTTCATCACGGGTAGCAGGCAAGCGTAGTCGGGCCAGGTATATTGACAACTGTAGTACATATCTTTGTTGGGGAAGTCAACATTCCCAAAACAACTTATTTAGTCAAGCTGAGAGCAGATTGTTCTTTTTACACCGCTCGGTTCACATTGACAACTCTTAAATCAACGCTAATCACTTAACTTCTCGGACGGAGCACGGTTTTTCGTCCTTAGTTATCCTTTTCCTTTGTCTTGTACTGAAATGGTAGTGATTCACTCTTACACAACATATTCGTGTACTAGCGATCTGAGCTTGTTTCTGATGTCGATAATTGTAACGCAAGTTAGATGGGTGATAATTGGATGGAACCGCTTCTCGAGCGGCTGGCAGATGCTGGGAGATCTCCAGACTTCTCAACTCACACCGGCCATTCAAGTCAGCACGCCGTCAATAGATGGCATATCAACAGTATAACTAATACACAGAACGGGGTAAGTTCAGCGCATGATTTCAGCAACACGAGGGCCTGTTCCGTAACCACTTTGCGTCGTAGGATAACGTCCAGAAGGTCAGACTGCTCATTAAACTTGCTCCACTGGAACTGAAGAAGTATCGCAACAGCATCCTTTGAAAGTCAGGAGACCGGTCTTCTGAAGGAGCAGTAACATTTCCTCTTCGAGCCGATCTCGAGTAGGGTCCGTTACCTGCGTTTCCGACTACTACCTCTTAGCAATGTAGGCCCGTCCACTGACGGTTGATTTGTGTTCGATTGTTTTGATGAGACCTCTGTCGGTGTGGGCAATTTAAATGTGTCGAAGAGAAAATCCTGCAAATACCATGTACTTTCGAAAAAGTTGGACATATTGGCAGAGCAAATGTGAAAACCGGAGGAGAGTCTTCATTTCGTGGCAGTATGACAAGCCTACCAATTATTTCGCTGTGCACGCAATGCATATGTATGGCTGGTTCCTACACAAAATCCTTCATTTTAACCACAAGTGTAAGGCTTAAATAACCACAAAGTGAGACAATACCCCAAGTTCCTGAGCTAAACTGCGACCTTCCTCCTCTGTGACGAGGCGTTGTTGTACGAGATCGATTTTATTGGCCGCAAGAATCATCGGATAGGAATCTCGGTCGCGAGCTCGCAGAATTTGCGTGTGAAAACGCCGCACTTGCCGAAAGCTCTGTGGATCAGTCACTGAGTAGACAATGATGAATCCATGACCCTTTCGCATGTATTGCTCTCGCATTGCGCTAAATTCGTCCTGACCCGCAGTGTCCAGCACTAAAAATGTCAGTAGCGAAGAAGAGGGTGCTGTTAGAGAAGCAGTGCTACATCTTCAATCAAACGTAAAGAAATTGGCTATGAAAAGACCTAAATCATCACTTTGTTTGCATTAAAATAAACTACAATCATGGTCGATTAAAAGGGTTAAATATTATTGGTGGAGGAATTTCATGACTTGGATTCCGACGACAAAGAATGGTCTCATTCAACCAGGTATAAAGCATGAAAAGTGCAAAAGACAAGCGAATTAACTGAAATTAGTAGTAAGTAATGGTGGAACAGGTACTATGAAATGCAAACGCTAAAACTAGAAGAAAAGTGAAGCGAGAACTGATGTCGAAGGTTCAACAATGTGGGGTTATGGAGGTTTTCTAAGTCCAATCGTCACGTGCACGATGCGACAATGCCCTATCACACATAGCATTACTGACGCTGTCCGGAGACGCCCACCTTCTTAATTTATGAAGCAAGTAATGCTACTTCAGGGCCGACTTTTGACAGCCATGCACATCAACCACACCAACTTCAATTCATGACAAGTAATTAGATCCCGATAAATAACACTTTATTAGTGCATTAATGAATTTCTGAGATACTTGACCGTCAAGCAAACATCAGCATCCTTAGGAATCAAACCTGACCTTAATTTGACTGGTGGTGGATGACCCGTTTGGTGAATGATTCATCAGTTTTGATTAAGCGACTGGTCAGAAACGTTGCAATTCATTTCAAGGATATCGGCGAAACCCAACCGAAATAACAATTTGAAAACGAGCAAAACCGTTGTACGAATTTCGAAATATGCTATGCATATGGCTTTTTAGTTCACCAGAACTAGTATGTATAGTTGTCCGATACTGTTAGACGATGCTTACACCCGTTTTACTGATATACCCAGCTGTTTACATACAAGTGTTCCAGTGAACAGGAGATCCAAGCGCAGGAAGAAAACAAGTTGGCAAATTCGGAAAGATGGAAAATTTTACAATGGACTTTGTCCTTTGTTAATTGTGTTCTAGCTCGTCAAGAAAATATGTCAAGGAGGGTCGCCACGTATGCATTCTAGCTTGGATTGTAGCACCTCCTCTCGAAAAAGAGGGAACGTGCTCAATAAAAGTCGCTCATTATTTAAGAAGACATTATGCATATAAAACTAAATTTTCCCCGAGGAAATAGCTTCTGCATCTTGAACCGCAACATTATAACAGGATCTAGGTTTAGTAGTTTTAAAAACCACTGAATTGAAATTTCTATTCCCAAGTGATACCATTGCACAGTAGGATTCGGTAATATGCATTGCCTAATACTAGACATAAACAGCATCACACCTGTCAGAGTGCTCAATCCACACTAGAATCTCCAGTCGCTATTTTACTGAAAATTTGACGTTGTGGATAATAGCATCAGATTTGAGAGTGTCATGGTAATTTCGCCAGATACGCCAGTAAAAATAGGACCTTAATCATGTCAGACAACAGACACCAAGTTATATTAAGACAGTAAGCACTTGCTAATGTTCAACTGAGGTCTTTTAGTCGCACCCTCCTACTTACCTTAGGAATCACATGAGTACATGCATTGAGGTAATTATGCACTTATGTGTAATTAAAAAGATTGACCAAAGTAATGTGAAGTGGCTGAGTAGGAAGTATTTATGAAAGCAATAGCACTATAAACACGCTCGAGCATTGATTCAAATCAACACCTGCCGACGGGAAAAAAACAGAGGTACCACGTCCGGTATGAAGCAGAATACCAACTTAGTATTTTAACCGATACGGCTAACTTATGCAAAGGAAAAAAATTTGCGATGCTGAGCAATTTAGATGATCCAAAGAATGTAGGCTTGAAAAATGATTGAAAGTGCGACAATATTTATTATTTCGACTTTTTTACAACTAATGGGTTGGAATTTAGAAATACGAATCTCCGCTACGACCAGTTAACTTCGTACTTGAAGCTTCGCAAATGGAAGGTCACACTCAATCACTTATTACAACAGCACACACGATGTCGCATGCATTGGCAAAGGCCCTACATCTAACCTGGCAAATTGCCTGCTGTCTTTTCAACCCGGATCCTCTGGACAGTTTATAAGAGGGAATTATAGGGTAGTAAATAGAGATAAGAAAAGGGCGATTCAGTACAGAAAACCTCAAGGTGGCGTCACCAGGTCCTGCGAAAGGCACGACTTGGTGCTTGCGTGCACGTGCCAAATCCAAGACAATTTGAATGTGTACACACGCGGTTAAAAAAGTCCGCTGTTTACTCAAAAGCGAATTTGGACGAACTTGGGGCAACTGACTGATGGATTGAAGAAATAAAAAACAGATTGCTAAATCCGCCGAAGTTCAGCTGCTGAAGTCCAAGGCGCAATTCAACAGTACGAACAGTACTGAGTGTGATCAAGCCGGCTTGACAGACCGTTCCCACGGACGGAAAACCAACACTGCAGCATCAGTTCAGTTGCCAATTTTGGGCAAATCAAAAGCGCATTCAGCCAAATAGCTTGTCAAATCGAGTGTATATTTAGGAGCTGGAACAATTATGCATGGGTTAATGTTGGGTCACGTATTTGATGGATCTATCTTCAGTCAAACAACCCAAAACCATTGGAAGATATAAGCGTTCACATACAGACCATGATTACTACTCGGTTCACAACAATATAAATTGCTAACACTGGTCGAAATTTCGACTACATGAACAAAACTACGCTTTTACCATTTTGATGACTTCGCAGACAGGTTACGTTTACGATTACAGAACTGAGGCATTGGACTAATTTGCTGAACAAAATATTAGGCATTCCTAAACATTCCAATAATGAGAAGGAGACCTGAGTTTAGGTTTTATGAATATAAAAAGTGACGGCAAATTTCGTCAAAAGTGCTAACGATAAAACCAGGCTTGATTGTCGAAAATCCAATGTGGAGGTCGTGTATTCTAGTGAAATGCGCGGTTACATCCGTAAGGTTATAGATTCCAAAGATAATAGCTAGAATCGTGCCTTTAGAGCCCCACACTAGGAATGGGGCATAAACAATTTGGTCAGCACTAACTTTGACGTTGAATTTCGCACGAGAATTATACAACAGTTATCAATACATCTATTTCCTTAAGGAATAAAACATAATCTCCACGATTAAAACACAACGTGTGCCACTTCGAACCACACGTAATGAACATCTGTGCTACTGTGTAGGTGGTTAGTTATACGCCCGAGGTGTGCAAGAGTGTGTCACAGTATTTTTCGTTCCTTTCGAAGTTTTAGTCAGACATTCGTCATTAATAGCAGCTTTTCCTCTAATACTGACGTAAATGATGCGCGCAAACAGTAATCTAAAGACGATTAAAGTTTATCACAGAATACTATAGACTAGCAAGTAACACAACTTTCAATAAACAAAAAAATTAAGGCATACGTGTGGTAAGTCACATCCAGTCGCATTTCCTTCACTTAGTATACATAACATAGGCACTAAACCTCATAATTATTCACGCATTGCTGAGCTAAATCATGCAGGGGTCAGCAAAAAATGAGAAAAATTACAAGTAAAAACATGACGCCGTTCATTTATGAGATTTACACATAAAACCAAGTAAATGAAATTAGCTGTCTCCGCCGTTCCAAAATTCAGCGCGTTAGAATAAAGCCAAACACAATACACCAAAATAAAAGTGTAAGCTGTGTAGCCAGGGTACAATTCGATAAACGTTAAGAGTTCGATTTTAAACTTAAGGAAATAAAAGACAAGAGGAATTATAGAATATCAACAACCAAGTAAGTAACTGGACGGAATGTTGTAATAGTTTAGACTGAATGAAATCACAAAACAAAGTATTCCAATAGTAGTTTTGAAACCACATAAGAAAATCGTGAAAAATGGGTCAAAAGGATGGCAGTACTGGTTTTTACACAAAATAACAGAAAATTCGAATTTTGTGGGTCTTGTGGCAAAAACATTGCAGATTGATGAAAAAACAGAAATGACTATAAAAACGTTATCGATAATAAGCTCCATGTTTTAGGCCATAAAACACAAGCATTGACACTGAGTGTTCAAACAGGATATGACAGTAAAAAATTGCAGTGAACAAATCTTAGAGCAAACCACCAACAAACTCGCAAATTCATTATTGTGTTAAATACACCGATTTATGCTTACCATCAAGAACACACCATTCTCCGTCCACTTCTACATTTTGTATATAAGAATCCTCAATTGTGGGGTTATGGTCCTCCAAAAACATATGCTGAAAATACTAGGAAAAACATCAACGTTCTGATGCAACACACTTGTATAGTTAGTGCTGATTTTCCGACACCACCATCACCAACAACAACGACTTTAAACTTGGGTATAGCTGAAATATCATTAGGAATTTGAGTCAGTGCCATGGAGCAAAGAACGCAGGAACGCCAACTACGCAACCCGAACTGCTGTCTTGCAGATCTTGAATCCACCGCGCTCTTAAGTGCGAAATTACATCAGTTGACATTCTCAATTACCAGACTTGAACGGATTGTCCAAATCTCGTTTTTGGAGGTTTAATCCAGTATTTACAAATTTAGTAAGTTATTACGATCACGTACAGGCGACGGCATTGCAGATGAATGGTAAGTGTTGAAACAGAAATTATTAGGACTAAAATACTTAGATTTAAAAAACAATTAGGGATTATGGCTAAACCAGCCTAATGGTGCCTTTTCATGGCTAATTAATGCTAAAATAATTTACGAAGGACCAAAAACTACATTATGAAACTGTTTTTCTAATAAATGAATACGTGCTTCTGAGATTTATGTTGGAAAGTAGCTATCTTTGTGGTTTCTGCAATACCTTGAGTTCTTTAACTACTTCTCAATTGCCCTAGGAATGTGTTTGCGTCCAGTCCCCAAAACGCTGAGTCAATTAATTTAAAGAAACATCTTCAGGCTTCAACTTCAGTCCCTCCTTTTAAGATAGCTCTAGTAGGTAGTTCCCCATAACTTTTGCATCGAGTTTAAGCGACACCATGAGTGGCTAAGTTAATTGTACCAACTTGCCATAGTTGTTGACCTTGCACTTATACTTCCGTTTCCAGCGATTTCAGTTGATTTATGCAAACCATGGATTGTTTTCTGTACGTTGGGTATCCTCTACTGTTTGGATTGTGCCACTAGGGGTTGGCATATTTATAGATTAAGGAATTATTACTACCAGATTTAATTCATTGCGCAGCCGCTGATGAACAAAAACGGAGGAAACAGTCGAAAACTTAAAATTATTTTCATTTATTGGATATCTAATTGACAAAATTATGTATTAAATATGACTACTGGCTCCACAAAGCAAAACGTATATATTTTTACATGATACACTTGACTGTTTATATTACGGTTCTACACTTACAAAGTAACTGTGCTTCTACCAAATTTCGAACTTTTGATTTTATTCAAATGTTATTTTAACCCTTGGAATTAGTATTGTATTATAGTCACCTAGAATTACACGATGACAACTTACAACGTTGGTAAAAATGATCTATCAACCCAAAGGATCTTTTTGGGAAATTTTAGTTGACCTTGATGGGATTTCATGGAGATGATCCCATGTTCACCGTAATTATCTGTTTTGACATCGTGTTCGTTCTGAAATATTTATACATTATATTCTACAAAGACTGATAAACTTATTTGGCGGTATGAAATCTAAATGAGGAAGAAGCTCTTTGCAGATGTTGCTAAGGATTGGTGTGTTAAAGTTGGTGGTCAGTTGTAATTTAACGCATGTAGAATACCTGAGCTCTAATATGAATATGACTGGTACAACAGAACAGGCTTTATTGACCAAACACAAGCCACAACCACAAGTCAAGCCCCTTCCATCCGAGTCCGCCACGCTGGCCTCGCCGCTCATTGTATACTGCACCGCATTCGTGTCCTTCTCTGGTTGGCTGCCTATCTTCCTCCCATGCCACTGGATCACAGAGAGACAAAGGATTGGCTGAGGCTAGGTGGACCAATATGTCTGCGCCCCGATCCGTCACCAATGTAGGTTTCGGCCCCATGGTATGGTCAAGAAGAGAATGAGACAAAATGGATTATTTTAATAAAGGATGACATACGTTACACTCGGGTTTCAACCTGGTCGGTCCGTATGGGGGAAACAGGGAGGTTTATATATCCTAGTTCTGTTCTTCCTGTTCTCCCATTGGTCCGTCCCGCGTCGCTACAATGGAGGCAGAAAACTCGTGAGCGGATTAGCTCTCAGTCTCCGGCGCGTCATTCAATGCCCGCGCGCCGCCACGCAGCCGGAAATCGCACCCCCGATCACGTGACGTCGCCTTCACGCCATGCTGACTACCGTCGCCAATATGGCTGTCATCTGCCATTCCGCCACACCACACACGGTCACCTTTTTTTTAAATGTTAAAACGGTTATTACGTCACTTTAAAGGGTACTGGCAATCATCTAGGACTAAAAGCGTTTGAGTTGGAATACCCTTAATTGTGCAAATTACCAAAAAAGGCAGGCGGATCTGAAGCTTCGGTCCATGCTTAAAGTACACTAGTTTGGCGAAAGTTGGACATCAACAACTCTGATTTATAAAGCCTGTTCTCAAAATGTTCCTGAATTTTCCGCTGCCATCGGGCAAGATGTTCGTAGGTTTGGCATTATCACTAGCCTAACCGTCCCCAATGTAGACTACAAATAGTTACTTTTGCCCTTTTGGCAATTCAGCTTTTGCATTAATGCCGACACACAAGGTAACCTGGTATTTTTGTTAATCAACCAGTGAGTTTTCTTGGACTCGTGTCTTATTTTTTCGCTGGGAACTGTGTCAGGTCACGTAATCAAAGTGCGTTTAGAATGAGATGCAGACAAATATGCCGTGATTTTTCTAGAATAATTGATTAAAGTTGTCATTTTGCATTAAATTTAGCTCAAACAATGCTATAATTCGTTTCAAACATCATCCGAAGCATTTGTCGAATTGTATCATATTGCCGATTCATAATCAATAATGATAATTACACTCATTGTGTAAGTCATTTCTTGACTTCCTGGTGCTATTAATTGTAAGATTTACTGTCTTTTCAGATTGTTTCGCAAAGGTACTTGATAAAAAATAAACAAAAAAGCTCAATCTTAGAAATAATGTCCATCGTTTTCCATGACCCTGCGCCATCCCTCAGGAAACGTACGATTTACGTCGCGAAAAAAACTTAATGGCTTCGAGGCAATAAAATTATCCACCAAAATGCCTACACAGTCCAGCGTTTTGAAATGTTTATCCACTAGAGTGTGCTGCTTCATTGATCTGAACAAATGGTAGTTAGCTGGGAGAACTTCCTATCCCAAAGTCAAGAGTGTCTTCTGAGTCGCCCGAGCAACGTGAGGTTGAGCGTTGTCATGCCGCCCCATGACTTGCCTGCTTCCTCACTCAGTAAATTGATTTTTTTCTGAGCACGTTCTTCGACCAGTTTGTTTAATTGTCGGCTGTAGCCTTGCGCAGTCACCATCTGACCAGTTTTCAGGAGTTCGTAATAAAGTGCACCCTTGGCGTCCCACCAGATGAAATTGAAAATCATCTTCAAGTGGAGGTCCTGTTCCGGCGTCGATGTACTGAAAGTTGGTCGTACAAAATATACTTCCCATCAACCGTCACAATTTTCCACGAAATGTCCGTCCACTGCTTGTTGCCGTCGGGCAAGAAGTGAAAGGCGTGTGTTCTTACGTTGACCTAGATTGTGTTAGGTCGGCACATGTGGGACCTAACTCCCAAGATTTTGAATTTGTCCCATTTAATGCGAACGCTTGGAAATAGCTGTTTGGATGACTCTCAACTAACCTGCTGCAAGGTCTCATTTCGCTTGTGCTGAGTCTTCATACAGTATACCATGCACTTGCACATTTGCACTCTTTCGATGCTGCTGTCCGGGGCGAGGCTGGTCACTAAGATCGAAATAACCACTTCTTAAACGTTTCCATCAAACATTACATGCTCCTTGAGGCACAACGTCGGCACCAAGAATACTGCAAACTAATTTCCGTGGTTTAGAAGCAGACTTGTCGTTCGGTGTTCTGGGACATGTCGTCTAATTCTTTCCAAAACACAGAAGACGAAAAGATATTTCTATTGTAAAATCTGTAAACGTTGGGTCAAGCGCCTAATATTTGCTGAGATTGTTCTCTTTTTGTAAAAACGCGTTTTCAGCCTTTTTCAAATACATCAACGCCATATTTTTCACTATTTCCGTTTTATCTTTAAAATTTTTAAATGTCTACCTCAGATCTTTTTCAGTTTTGTTTACGTCTGTGCTTGTGTCCACTCATAGTTGCAATTTAAAATTCCTACTGCTAGTTTCATGAGAATTTGTCTGTTTTCCTTATTTTGCATAGAACACCATAGATTCATTCAAGATTGGATTTTCTTGGTGATGGAAATGAAGTAATTGCCTAAATTTATGCACTGGATTTGCAGTAAATAACTTGCTTTAAGATCATTGATCATTCTTGATCATTCTATTCCTCGAATTTAAATATAAGTTCCTGTTGACATTTGAGGTGACATTATGGTGACTAAAAATGGTTGAAGCATGCTACCGTTTTACATTGATAAAAGCAAGATTTCTGCCATGCAGTTGCTGGTGCCACAACGTGCAACGCGCCTTGTGTGCCAATGCACATATTAAATCTTCACACAAGAGATGCAGATGTGCATGATTCGCCCTTGATTAACCAGTAGCCAGCACCAAAATCGAGCGCGATTTCTTAGCTCATTTGCAACACACTATCCTTCACTAACACACGCACTCGCTCACTGGAAGGTGAACGCAATGTCGTCAGTCATATCTCAGTCTAATGATCTAAAGATAACTGTTAAATTGACAATGCGTGTGCCCATCAAGTCCACGGAGGACCTCCTGAGTCGCAACCTCGGTGAAGTCTACCAACAGTGTCTGCAGAAACTAGGGGGAAAAAACTACAACGAGAAGCGTTTTAGCACTAAACTTAGAGCTAATTCAGTTGGTCTTAGTCTCGCCAAGGGTTCTTGGTGGCATTATGGACCGATCGTGTCCACATTGTTATACCAAAACATCCTGCAGTTCTCTTCCTGTCCAGGACGTCCCGCCAAGATCCTTCTCCTCATTACTACCGATGATAGGAGCAGGACTGAGTTGGTGCTAGTCAAGACCAAGGGCATAAACTATGCGAATCTACTTTTGGCCGCACTGCAGAGAAGCGTGCTTGAAGCTCACCAGCGTCTCTCTTACAAACCAGCCCCACTTGAGAACACAGACTCTCGACCTGTTACCTATCAATTGGAAGAACGCGACACAGCATCAGTAATACGACGATCTTCGGTCTCTTCCTCTTCATTAACACCAACTCAGAAGATCGAAACGCCTATGGCTAAAACTTCGGAAGAAACCCAGAAACAGCGAGACTTGCATCAAAAAGGGACCGCATCATCGCAAATAACGGGGGAAATTCGAGTTAAGCCCCTTACAGTAGAGATGCCGATTCCCCCAGAACGTCTTAAAAAGATGCAGAGTCAGAAAAAATCAGAAAATCAACGTGATGAGGATAGCAAGAACGAAATTAACGGCTACACTGGAAACTATACTAAGACTTCCTACGACCCAGAGACCAAAATTGAGACCTTGGATTCTGTGGTCTATTATGGTCAACAAACAGAATGGCTAACAAAAGCGAAAAATAACAACAAACCGAAAAAACCGAAGTCTCGGGCTCCACGTGAACTCAGTATGGTAGGTAATGGGCGAAAGGTGACTCGAGAAGTTGACGAAAACAATATTCCCTGGGAGGTTAATATCTGCTACATTAAGCATGATCCGTTGGTTGGCTGTGTTGAAGACGAGTCGGGCCCTATTTACATGTACACTGCCCATCAGCTGGTATCACGGGAGGAACAAGATTATGACATCCGTGAATCTGACGAAAGTGACCCTAGCAGCTCCAGTGCCGAGGAAGATAGTGCTGACGAGAGCTCGTGTGACAGCATGGATAGTTCTGATGAGAACAAAGAATTGGAAAAATTTATGATGCTTGGAAGAAGCAACCATACCACTGAACTCAAAAATGGGAATGCTGGCAGCCTGGGTGAGATCTATGAATATTAGATTTCGCAGGTATTCTCTTGCACATCGCTAATATCCTTTGACTCTAGTTTCAATTGATACATTTAATTTAGAGTTATGCCTTTCGATAACAGGTTTTATTGTAAAAGTGACTGTATTAAATTAATCCTTTCATAGGCAGTAATTATTTCTCGTGTTTTATCAAAACGCCAGTTCCTGTTTTATAAGGGCATGCGAGCACCACCTTAGTTAAAATAAAATGGGGGGAACATTGTAATTTTATAAAATATACCTTGTTTACAAGTTAGGCTCTAAATATTTATTAAGGAAAAAACTTTTAGTTTCACAGAGTGAAACCGGTCATTCAAACTTTTCTGCTGTGTTCCTGTAGATAAAACTGACTTGAACGAGGCATCACAAAGTTTAAAGGGTCCAATAACACTTCGTGTACTCAAGTCTTCGAGATTTTGTTATTAAGTGAACGAGCTTTTGGATTGCTTAGTAGGAGAATTGCTGCATTTGTGCAATTTCGCTCGATCTGGCTGTCAGAAATAATCGTCGCCTCGTAAGCAGTTATTTGCATTTTTACTGAGCTAGTACGCAGGACGCATTACATGCAGCCTTGTGAATTAATGTGAAGCACTACAGATTTTCAATTCGATATAGCTTGGGACCATCGATCTTGATTAAGAGCATATCCTGAGTCATGCTAGAATTTATTTATTCACCAGCGTGACGCATGAGTCTTGCCATTTGTTTATTGGCGACATCATGGGGACCGATATTGCGTGAAATACTGGACGTTAGGATTGCACAATGAGTAATGTCCATGATCTGTCTGGTCCAGGTGATTGTTTTTCGGCTAAGGCACTTTCAAATAATAGCAACATCCTGACGATGGGGTGTTCATATGGTGTAACAGATGTTCAAGTAACCGGGAGTTGTCACATTTCGTGTGGGCTATTCCGGGGCGCTAATAATACTTTGATTTCATTGGCCTTGGTCACCTCCAACATTCATGTGCACACAGTAACTATGCTAGAAGCCTTATATTGTGTTGAAAACAGCCACTTGCAGGTTTATCAACAGAATAACTGGTTGAGAGTCAAAGCGGGCAACGTTTTGCCCATGTTTCCATTTCTATACCTCTGAACTGCTTTTTACTTGCTCGGGAGTTAAAGATTGCCACAAGAAATCGCTTCATGTGGGATGATTTAAGGTAATGAGTTCAATAATGAAAAACATTATGCTACGTAGCGTTATAAACAAAGTAGTCTGTTTCCTTGCTTAAAGGTAAATTTCAAATTTAAAAATGTGGGATGTGACTAATCTCATGGGTTAGATTTATTACGTGTACCACTTCCGATACGACCTCTAGCCTGCGTAATATTGTAAATATGTTCCTTTTAAAGTAGGACTAATTTCTAAGTTTAAATATATGCGATGTCACTACTTAAACATGGGTACTACTTTTATGACCTTAAGTCCTCGAAATCCCTATATTATTATTGTTATTATTATTATAAGTAGCTGTGCATGTAAATAGTTCTAGTAATTTAACTACAGCATCATGCGTAATTGCAGGAACATAGACAGCATGATATGCTAACCAAAATATCCGATCTATGAATTCGACGGGGATCAGTGAACGTTAGCACCATTATACGACAAGTCGCTAATGAAGCTTCTGCGAATCGGGGCAACAAATATGACGTATTACAGCAAATTAAGTGGTTAATTGTGAAAATATTAGTATATAAAATGAGTTAACTAGTTAAGTGATATTTTCCGGTTGAATACTCCTGTGTTTTTTAAGTTCATGAATATACACTGCAAGAAGAAGATTGCACTAATGAAGGAGTTTAACAGATGTTTTTACGTATGATCAAGTCAGAGGAGAATTTTTGAACCGCTGCAAACTCAAACAGGACTGACCGCACGATTATTTTTCATTAAATGCCAATTACTGGCGACAGTGGCTTCATAGTACTACAGGGGGAGATCGCTAAACTATTTCCAGTAACCATGTTTATTACCTATTTACAAATCAAGATTTCCAATTCTTGACTGGAGTGTACCAGTGGCGATTTCCTATGATGATGTTTTGCCCATTTGCTCATTCAGGAAGCTGATAGTGGCCTACACAACTATTTGTGCAAACCAGCAAACCTTACCTAACCTTCTTATTTTGGACCTAAAAATCTTTTAAAGAGACAGTATTGTCAATGTTTTTCCTGAATGTAGTTACAGTATCTTAATACATTTAAATGAGGCCAGCCTCATCGTTCAAAGAGTAACCAATTCGCAAGATTTATCAACTGCATACAGTGCGTGAGGTGACTGCTTTAAAGATAATTTACAAAGGCTCGAAAGCCTTGTAGTAGCTAGTGTCTAGCACTACCTCACAACCCTCTAGTTAACAGCCCGTAACAACCCGAGAATGGAGTGAAGAGAGGCGACAGAGGACACGACCGTCTACTAGCGTCACACCAGCCAAGTGCGTCGTAGTGTGTGAATGAGTGAACGGATGACCGGCATCTGATAACAGTAACTAATGAAAAGGGGATGAGTCATTGTCACGTCAGGTCAGTAAACAAGATTCACTAAGACGTGATCGCTTTAATCCGCTACAGCCTTACCCCAGAGGAATTCGATTACTTAGAAGTACTAATTACAAAACCTATAGATTTGGGCAAGTATAAAGCCGCCTAAATGGAACACTTGAATATGAGGTCTTTGCGTTATGTGTTGCAAGGGCACTCGATAGATCGCCCCTTAGTCGAGTAATTTGAAATTAAAAAATGAGGCAAAATCCAAAACAGCACACTGTTCAGCTATTATTGTAACAGATTCTGTGGCACCCCAAACGATTCAGTATAACTTTGGTAATTTGAGAAAGTCTATTTAATCTCATTGCCCATCACACTTCAGATATGTTGTATCATTTATCGATAGAGTTCCTGTTCATCATGATCAATGTGTTTTTGCAAATATGATGGGTTCGTCAGCCTAAGTACACTGCAGCAGCACGAAACCAGCCTAATCTCTTGGATTTTGAAATTCGCATCGCAGTTGTAAGGTGCACTCTTGTTATCCGCTCTTCTCTTGAAACATTTGTGGGCCAAATAACATGGACATAAAACCTGACTACTGCATTTAGCCATAACGGAGTGCTAAGTGGTCAACACAAGATTGGAAAATTACCAATACCTGAATTATTTAGGACTTACTACTTGTATGACCATGTCTACTTATAGAAATAGCCTGTCGCACCATTTAACCATTAGGCTAATGTCAAATGCTTTTTTTAAAATCAACTACTTCCAAAAGTATATCACATGTTTCAGTAAAACTAAGGCAGCGTCAGGAGCATCAACTTAAAGGTAAAATCAGCTGAATTCTAACACTTTGTTGCTGTGTATATGCTAAACGTGTCAGTCAACAGCACTTTGCTGGTTTTTCGTTCTGCTTAATAGTGGACCGCATAACATTGTTATTGAGACGCAATTACTAATCCTACCTTGTTTAATCTTCTAGGCACAAATTTCCATAGCCAATGGTTATGACCTAAAACTGATCCTTTCTACCCGATTTCACATGATTGTCAAACACACGCACATTTTACTGCCGTTGGTTTAGTCAGTGTCGAAGCCTACGCATCATGCGGCAATCTGCTGTACAAATTGGCCTGTTGCGTGTCGCGAAAACCGCCAGCACGCGGCCGATCACGACGCAAGCGCTCTGCCAAATGTGCACAGAAAGCGGTGCGCTCCAGCGCACCGTGAGGCTCCCAATTCACACTCGCATTGCCAAGTCGTATTCTTCTTTTTCGGGCTTGCTTAATAAGCTTTAGATAACACGGCTGTAAGAATTTGTCCTCCTTATCTATCTACCTAAGTTATGTGCCCCTTTTAATGTTGAAATCTCTAATTAAAAACCCTTCCACAGGGTAATTTTATTTTTTTAATTCAATTAGCTCATTGAAACATAATTTTCCTATCTGTTTTAATGAGAAAAAGCGTAATTCGATGCTTCACCTTAAAAGATGGATCTATGGAGTAAATTCTATCTCTAATTAAAAACTCTTCCACAGGGTAATTTTATTTTTTAAATTCAATTAGCTCATTGAAACATAATTTTCCTATCTGTTTTAATGAGAAAAAGCGTAATTCGATGCTTCACCTTAAAAGATGGATCTATGGAGTAAATTCTATCATGTCAAGAAACCAGATTCAAAGTACTGTTGATTTGGACTTAAGTGAAGAACTCCATGTCTTCATACGATATGTGTTTTCTAAAACCCAGTAACCCACCCAATCTACTCCGAAACGCCATTCAGACGACACTAAACTGCCTATCCGAAGCGAGAAATCTAAGATCACTTCAGTGCTCAGACCAGCTTTTTGAATTAAGGAGGAGTACATGAAGCGGGCACGGGACAGGCATTAGGTGGTGTCCGTTAAATCACTTGTAAGCGTAGGTGGCAGGTGGAAAAATGCGCTTAACATCAGAGGCAATTGAAAAAAATCATTGAGGAAGATGTGCAAAAAATCTAACATCAAAGGCCATTAGAGGGAAAACAAAAATCATTTGGCAATTCAGGGAACAGCTCCTTGGTTGAGAGGGCGGGTGGGAAATTGGCAGGAGGAGTCAGCGAAATGCATTGCACTCAGAGTTATAAATAAATAGCTTCTTCATAACCATCATAGCGTACTATGTATATACCGTTTGGTAGTGGAGAACGAGCTAGGAGCAGGGCGTGTACGAGAAGTTCAGGTAAGCACAGAAAGTATAGAACATCCACGCACGCAATTGGATCCTTAACAGAGGTGGTGGGCTACATGGAAGATTGCAGGCTTGGGTTTCTTGCTCTGCGAAACGGACACAGCGTTCAACGGAGTAGATAAATATGCGTGAGCAAAAAGTGGGTTTTGTCATTTATCAGCGGCACAGAGCAGGTGGACACAGATTGAGAGTGGTCGGAAAGATGGTGGTGGGAGAAGGATTGAGAACAAGCATCCCTGATCAGGTGTTAGGGGCAATACACGAAAACATTTTGTGAAAAGGATCGAAATGACTTGTGGGCAAAACGCTGTTCACCTGAGGGGACATTGGCAGTGAAGGAGGTTGCCTAGATGGGAAAAATCCTCCGATTGCAGCTTATCGACATTAGTCTAAACACAAGAAAAACAAAAAGTTTAAACTACGACCTTTTGCTAAAATACGTTGTACTAAACCAACACTGACGACTCCCTTGGATGCAGTACCAAAGGTGATGAATGACCCTGGTGCCGAGCACACCCCGAGTCAACTACCGCCTGACCCCAAGAACACCAGCTACAAAATTAAGAGTTTTAAAATAAAATATTCTGACTCCGTGGTTGTACCAGCCTCAAAACGATGTACGCACGTCTCTGGTGTGAGTAGAGATGCATTTCGAAGTTGTTAACATTTTTAATGACAGAATCAAAGAGGCATCATCAAGATCAACAATAGTCCCAAAGGCAAACGTTTAAAATAAGTTGCTTAAGCGGTATCTGCAAGAAAGACAAAGTATAAAAAGCTATAAACACCATTTAGTGCACAACAAAGACATCCTACAAATATCAACAAATTGCTATTGGCCTGTTTGCCTTTCAATAGAGATCATATTTTGAATAATGCACTTTTTCTCCATGACGCTACTCTGCGATGAGCGGCTTTGGCAGCGCCTTAATTGCATCATTGAAATAAAACTTATCACCTCTCCGTATCATTGGTCTTTAAGAACTCACAAACTTCTGAAAAGGAACACAGCCCACTGATTCTCTTGACAGCTCATGTGAATCGCCGTACTCTGTAATTACTCAACATCACGAGGATTCTGACACATAAAGTGTGACTACAGGAGTGAAATTATTTAAGGTGCTGTTCGTTTTGAATGAATCAGTTTTTTTACCTACAGCAACATCTTCATGGATTATAAAAATCCCACCCAGAGAAACTTGGTGACAACATTAAAAAATTAAATTAAAAAAAGGGAAACAGGTAAAGCGAGTGACCTCACCTCTATGCCAGTTTGTCAGCTGGCTTGACCTGGATGTCAAACCACCACTCACAATGATCCCCGTCGGCGTTCTGGGCGATGACGGCGTATTTGCCGCTATCAGCTGGGATTAAGTCGCCGCCAGCAAGTGAAATCTTTGCAGACAACCCATCTTCGGAAATAAAGAACTGAGCCTCTTCCATTTCCATCATGTTTTGACACAGCATCACTTGACGCAGAAACGAGAATATAAAGTATAAACAAGATCAGCTGTGAAGCACCTCCAATTACCGAATGACGCATCTCTAAATCAGAGCTTCTGAGATTTTTGGTCACAGGGGTTACGTATTTGAGGATTTAGTTGAGTAAACGTTTCCAAAAATTTATCAATGAAGAGAGAGATACCATAAAATTAGGATTTTTTCATCCTAAACAGTTTCTAAAGGCCGAGGAATACAAAAATCTTTTTTTTCTTTGTGACACCCTTTCAGCACAATGTATGACTAGCAAACGAAATCTTATCTGCACACTAAGGTATATATTTTAGACAACGAATTGTAAAGTGAATCAAGTGATTTTGGCAAAATTATTGCGGATGCTCAAGCAGCAACCTGTAGTAAACATAATTTAGAACTGTTATTTATGGCTTCGCAGTGAGTTTCAAGCAAGTTGAAGATAAACCGACAAAGAGGAGCATGGATATGCTTCTCAGCATTTTGTTTTGCCAACAGGAACACAACTAGGTCCATTTGTGAATTGGCTGGCGTGTACTATCTTCATTTGCATTTTCTGTAAATCTCGATGTTTGTGAAGTCGCGTAAATCATGCTAACCAAGAAACACACAACCAATTGTAAAATAGACTGCGCCATCACAAAAAGGTGATGCTGTAAATTCTGTGAAGGCTTTTTATACTTTCCATCCTTGTTTGAACTTGTTTGTCGGTTTCACCTTCAATATCCTTTAGCTGAAATTGCGTGCTTTAACTTACGACTGGTTACTGGACTTGTGAATGAACAATCGAGTTCGATCGGTCTATCTGCCGTGGTCGTCAGGGAATTGGGAAAGGTCAGGAACTGCGGCCCAGGAGTTGGATTCTTAGAGTCTAAAATGGCAGACTGGGTGGCTTTAACTACTTTAAGAAAGTACATATTTTTGGTGAGCTAAGCTGTTTTTAACAATTAAGTCCATGTCCCAGAGGAACTAAATGTGTTCACCATAAACCATTTACTAAGTGATTAACAAGTTTTGTTGTAAAGTGAGAATGCAAGTAGCCTTCTTCAACGTGTTCGTTTTCGATTGGCAAGATCATTGGGCTACATTAGGCCCGGAAGCACGAGATAGGAATCACAATAAAGACTGATGGACACTAAAGAAAATCACGGCAGTCAAAAATTCAAATTATGACTAAGATAAGTAAAGGGAACTAATAAATAGGCAAAATAATTATGTATATTTAAGCTGCATTTAGCATATCAACTACATTTCCCCCGATGACCCTGAACTACCTGGAATCTGAAAGTAATCGGTTATGGACACATTTTTGAAATCGTAGGGCAAAAATAAATGGACCACTTGCCTCTGACAGAAAGATATCCGACCGTGGTCACTCGTCCATCGGTATTGACAGCATGACATGCGTAGACGCCTGAGTCTTCGAGCCCTATGTCCTTAACAACGAGGTTGACATCGTTCCCCTCCAACGTAATGTCATATTTGTCATCTGGGGCGAGGGCTTTCCCATTGAAGGACCAGCCAACACCTGTGGCATTTTTAAACTGACAGCTAAAAGTGACCGAACCAACACCCAGATCGACTATTTGGCCTTGAAGTTGGCGTAGGAGTATTGGCACTTCGGGATGGAATCCGGGCTGTATCGCAATCGCGCCGTTGAGTTGGTCATGCTCAGGGGTTGCAGAAGCTGCATCTGGCTCATAATCTCCGTCTACTTCGGAAGCACGGGTAGCCACTTCAACAGAAGAAGCCTCCGTGCCGTCAACAAACGATCCAATAGGAACAGGTTCAGCCAAAGTGACATCGTTTGCTGCAGGAACAGAAAATTCACGTCCTGTCAAACCCTTGGCTAAAATAGGTAAGATGAAGAGGGTTGATTTTTCAGTACCGTTTGGAGACCGTTGAAAATGCGATAAAAATAGTCACTTACTTGAGACACTAACATCGGTCCTTGTTTTTGCGATTCCGGCGGGGTTCATGGCCTTGCACTCATAGCTTCCAGAATCAACCGATGATAAATCATTAATTCGAAGGGTGCTTCGGCAACCATCACTTGAGGTCATGATGTTCGTGCGACCGGCAGAGCTCAAATCCTTAAAGCAATAAGGGAAACACGTGACGGCTTCTAATATCTCAAAATTATTTTTTCCCACTATACCTCTAATCACTACCACCTCACCGATTCTAACACAAATGTTTTAAGTAATATCATTTTTCTGTTTTAGACTAATTCAACTGGTGAAAAAATTAAATAGAACAAATCAATCTTAAAATAAATGCAAAAATTTAAATAGGATTTAAAAACAAAGTAAACCTGTGCTGTCAAGGAGCAAGATGACCGAAAATGGGTTTAGTGATTATCTATTTCAACTAAATTAATTCGTGAATGCAATGTGGGAAAAAACCTCCTTTAAATCCCCACTGAACGAAACATACGCTTCAATAGCATGGGCCCAGTTTCACCATATTAAGATAAGCATTCTCAAAAACCACATCAGTAGACATTCAAAACTGGTCCAAAAGGAAACGAATTCGGACAAGGTTTACCTGCCCATTGAAAAACCAGGCTACGGTGGCAGGCGGCTCGGCAGGGTAGAATTGAGCTTCGAGCGTAAGGGTGTCGCCCTCAAGTAAACCAGTAGGCGCGTCAATGGCTGCTTTTAGGGCGGGTGCTTTCTGCCTGGGATTGGCATTTCGCATGCCAGAGCTTCTTCTCTCGGACATCTGCAGGCTAGAGCGAGTAATCGAGGTGGTGGAGGTGATACTGTTACCCAAAATCGAAGACTCACGCACCGACGAGGTAGTTTTGTAGGTTTCCGAGGAGGTATAGGGCATGGTGCTTGATGCGCGAACTCCTCTGCTCGCGGTCGCAGCCAGCAGCTGTTTAACGCGATTCGCTAAAGCGAATACGCTTCGTGTTGTAAAATTACCCGAGTGTTAATCCTTCCACTTAATTCTACTTTACATTCGATTCACTTGATTGATTGGCTCCACCGTACAACAAAAAATATGAGTTGTCAAGTAATTAACATATTGTAGTTGCAACTCAGTTGGGTATCTGGATTTAATTGATGATCCGAATCATTTAAAAATTACATGCTCGTATAATACAAGTCCAATATATAGTCTGAATGGTGCAACTGAAACAAAACTCAAATGCTGACCCTTTGTAAGATAATCCTGAATCAAAATAGAAATTTTTGATTGTGCCAATGACTACCCAATTTTTCAAAATATTTTGTATAATTGTCATCAAATGGGGGAAAATTACAGATCTGTCATTTTCTGATAACAGTCTGACGTAACTGAGCAAGCTGGGCATGACATTTCCATCACAGTTGTTCTATAAACTTGTAGGACATTAAGATAATAAGCAGGAGAAAATGATCACCATTTTCACTATCTGGTATACGGTTAAATACTTCGCTGATGCTGACGTTGATTCGTTTGCCTCAATTACTACCGTTACATATCCCAAAAGATGCTTCTAAGTATTTATTTGACTATGAACGCTAAACTTCTTTGGAGCCTTGGTTGCAAAAATAGCGAGGCAGACATAATGTATTTTAACTCCTGTTCCTTCATCTCACAACCTGTTGTTTTAGAAAGAATATAGATTTATCCATTGTCTGCCATACACGGAATGCTAATTTACACGCGTGCACGCACAAACGTTTAATCAATAGTTGTGCACACAAGCCAAGGCAGGGTTTAGCTCGGCGTCACAGCCTGGCGACTGCGTGGGAGCAGGCGCGCTCGCCTTAGCATGCTAATTAAGCCACTGGGCTTACGTTCAACGACGAGTTTGCAGGTGGTCTCATCCTCGCCGAGTTTGTTGCTGGCGCGACATGTGTACCTGCCCGAATGCTGGTCACTGCAGCTGAAGATCTCGATGGAGGTGATGCCCAGTATGGTCTGGATGTCGAATTCTCCATCTCTCTCTATTTGCCTTCCATCCTAAACAAAAAGAATTTATTAACGTTAGTTGCGGTCAGAAGTGGAGTCACTAAATCCAAAATCATTTAAAACTTGAAAGTAAGCTACAATAAAAGGCATCGTTACTGCCTTAAAATATACCGACTTCATGAAACGAATTTCCAGTTACGTAATTTTCAGAAGTGATTATATATGAGATCCAAGTCCAATTTACAGGCAAACGGGGTGTGATATATCATTCATATCGCATCATTAAGCTTGTTTTTATTTTTTATTCTCTGCCGATAATTAACCTACTTCCACAATCATTTTGTATGAGTTGCAATGAATACCACTAGAAGTTAGAACCAAGAGCCTTATAAAAAACCCTACACTATTGCAAACAACTCCAGATCAACTGATTGCTGCCATGCACAAACCCGTTTTAGAAGGTCGGTATCATAACTAATATCTCGAATTCATTTTGAATCTTTCGTTTTGTCCTATCTGGTGTTTTTAATATTGAATGGACTCCCAAAACGCCTCAATGAGAAAGGCTCAAGTGAAGTTCATGACTTTTCTGGTTAAGATTGATAGTAAAACCTTTTAGATGCAAAAAATATGTCCAGTAATAGAAAATTAAAGATCAAAACTTCTACCCACAAACAAGTCAGTTGTTCAAGGCCAAACCTTTTTAGCCACTACGAGCACCCTTGTTCCAAAACATGACATTCTGAGACGAAGAATATTAAATAAAAACACTATAAGATCGCAGAACCACAAACCGAAGTGGCACAGCAGAGCCGACATCACATTTCATTTGCGACTAGCACAATATTTAGGACCCACACTTGTGCAAAGAACTAAAAAGTCATGAAAATGAACTCGCAGACCTTAAACCAGGAGAGCTGCGGAGTTGGGTTGCCATCGGCAGTGCAAGTAAGCTTTACAGAACGACCGGCTTGGATGAAACGATTCCTCAAAGGTAAGGAGAATCGCGGAGGAAGCTCTTCTGGCAGGACAACTTCGTATTCTTTCAAGACAAACTTCTTTCTCGGCATTACGGAAGGCTCTGAAGAAAATGGGGTAATCAACCATTTCTGCATTATAAAATACATCCATTACTTGTAAAATACAGAAAGCCTGTAAAATCTTGCAAGGTGGTTGTCCTATAAATTTTCTCCATAAACAGTTTTGCGGGTGTTTAAAATGTCAACTTACTCTGATGGAAACTATCAGTTTTGGTAATTGGACGATTTACTGAAACACTCTCAGTAATGTTGCTGATTACCACCACGAAAATTAAATAATTTAGTGAAGTCATGTGATCGAGGATTCACTCTTAAATTCAAATTACAATGAATCTAGGTAGACCAAATGCCGTGATGGCATTCAAAGTGACGCTAAATATTCCACAAAGGTGCCCTGTGAAGCATATTTTGTATACCGCGTAGTTCTCACTGCGCGTGAGTACCTAGATAAAACACCTAGATCGAAATTCATAACTTCGCTTATCGTCTATTCAGGGGCAAGTGCAGGCTAATGCTCGTTAGTGCGACTTCTTCCAATTGTCCTATTGGAATGGAACCATTGAACAAAAATGCTTCCGTATGGATGTTCCAAATAATTGGAGATTCTTCACCTTCTTGACAGACGTAAAGTGCACTGTAATCCAATTTAGGTGAAATATGGCTGGTTTCGTCATTGCATTACGACTTCTACACCTTCACTAAAATTAGCGTCATTCAACGTAAACCCGCAAAAATAAGCCCCTGTTGTGTATCTAATATTTCTTAGCATGCTTTGTATACATTGCTCACTTTTTAAATCCCATGTTTGTGCTTCCCTCAAATAGTGGAAGTAAATAGAGTTTAAGATGATGCTACTACCAAATTAAATTGCCTATTGGTAATATTTCTTCTTAACTAAGCCAATTCTTAGGTTTTTCGACCCTTATTCCCTCGCAAGTGACAAAATACTATGACGTAATCTGTGGTTTACATACAACCAGAATTCTACATGGCATGCACAACACAGTATGCTTTAGGACTCCATAAATTGTCAAAATATAACACTAACTTAGCATTGCTTTTACCTCTTGTGATTTCACGAACAAACTCTACAGTGAGATAAGCAGAACTCTCCTTTCGGCCAAAGCTGTTTTCTGCCCGAACAATGTATTCACCCTCGTCTTCCGACTTCTTCACACGACTAACTTTGAGTGAGTAGTCACGGCCTGAGTAGCGTTGCATATACTTGAGGCTTTGTGTAAGTTGTGTGCCCCGATAGACCCTATAAATAAAAGTGTATCATAATAACTAATTTACTCACCCAACTTGGGTGGATAGTGAAAAAAAAACACACCAAGTGATTATAGGCTCGGAGACGCCAATAACGCGACAATTGAATTGGGCGGTGTTTCCTTCAAGAACTGTCTGATTTGATGGATGGCGAATAAATCTAGGGCCAGCCTCTCGGCGATCTAAAGGAAAAGTGCAGCTTGTAGTCAAGTATTTAAAACCATTCGCTTTATTTCTCAGTAGATGTCCAAAAGCTTACCGAATTGGGTTGTGTAGATTTTGTATTCATCGCGCTTAAGTCGGCGGATCGAGCTGTAGTTGGAAAGATGCCCAATGGGTGGTTGCTGCTCCCAGTTTTTGCCCTTCAATTAAAATATAATAAGCACCCAATGACACAAAGAGAAACAACTCGTTTAAAAACACGAATTTGCGCCCTTACTATACGTTCATGCATTTGTCGACGGACAGTTTCGTAACGTTTGGCTGGAATGCGACGGTTCTGTTCATCGGTGACCTCGGTGTTGAGCCAAGGATGCTCCAGGGCCTCGAATACATTCATGCGTTTCCTGCAATGGGAAAGAATTGCAGCATTTATAATTGCCAAGTTGGTGAAAATGCATCAAATAATCTTACAATCTATTAAGCAGTTTTGATATTTCGCGAAGCTAGCTATCAAAATAGATGCTGTCGCCACGGTCTCTAAAATACCGGGCTGCCGCAATCGGTCCTAACATGAAAAATTTAATTCATGCTCAATTAGTTTACGAGACGTAGACTTTAGATACAGCACAAATTCACCGTCATTGTTGATAACCTTGATGACGATCAACAAACTTAACTAATCTGTATTTGATCATGTTTTATTGAAGCACATGCAGATCTCTGCTATTACGATTGCTGATCGCATGCTACCTGAGTATATTTACCGGCGCGCGTTGCCATTAGAAAAAACGACTACCCATTGTTTTCGAACTGGGAGACTCACGTCACAACATCCCACTTCATAGGTAGATATCCAAATCGGATGTTTTATTTACCCCTTTTGAACTACTCTTCCTATTATACGATAAACACACCCAATTGTTGACCATTCAAAAACCGTTGCACAATATTTACGCTGAAATCATAGAAAATGATGCGAATTCAATTTAAATGTCTTCAAATATATAATAAACCAACAAAACAGACAACCAAGTATTTAAATCGGGGTAGGCCATACTTCAAAGGTGATTAGTAATTGGGTGTTTTCCGAATGTAAGTGAAACGCTGCCACAATATTTACGATCTTCCAATCACAGAAGACGTTTCTCTCTCAATCCCGTACTGGTCGGATTCACCCTTTTTAGCATACGGAAAGTTGGCGAACTATACTTAAAGCAACTTATTTTACTATTTTGAGGCCGGAATGAACATTTTCTTGGACTTTAAAATTATGACGGAGTGCCAGAGTACATGAGGCCCTTTACACTCCCGCAGGAATGAACAGTTCAGCTTATTTCCACCGATGAGGAGCAGACAAATATTAGACCACTGGCAAACATTTACGTTTTCCTTTTCAGAGTTTACCCTAAACGCAACAACTAGCATTTCCCTCACTTACTCGGGAGCCTTGACGAGGAGTTTAGAAATAAAGTCTTTGGCATTGTCTGAGATGTTTCTGAACGCCTCATTGTCAAAATTATAGGAAGCTTTGCTAACGTTGCTAAGGGTTTCCACGATATCGTCTCCGGCGAACGGTGATATACCCGAGAGGAGAATGTAAGTGAGAACTCCAACAGCCCACATGTCCGTGTAGAAGCCCACAGGATTGTGATCGGCAATTTCTGGGGCAGAAAACTCCGGTGTTGCCGTGGATACGCGAACTTCGTCTTGCGGATTCAACTTCGTCGAGAGGCCAAAGTCAACGAGTTTAATATCTGTCGACCGGCTTGTCTCACACATGATATTCTCTGGCTGCAAAATAAAAACAATAAATCTCACTTTAAAAACTCGTAAATGTGGAGATAAGTGTTTCCTTTGCTTCTATTTGTGGTTGTGATTATCTCAGCCCTCCTGCGTATTAATAAGGGTGATATTCCGCAGTTTTCAATTCGTTCAGGGATGTACCATTGAGCCCCCCTCCGATTTGTCAATTTAAAAATAAATACTCGCGGAAGTAGCTTTTGAAAATTAAGAATTGGCTTGCTCACATAGCAGTAATACAACTGATTACATTGAAGACGGTCAAGCGAACGATCTGAGGAAGGGGCTATTTTCTTATAAGAGTGGGGAAAAAATGTGGCCAAACTAAGAAAACTCGAATACCTAGGCAATTTGAAATTGCCTGACTCTTGAAACTGTGTGCGTTCGTGGTTTCTGAATAGATGCCCTAGTGTTTAAGGTATAATCAAGAATCAGGAGTATTCAGAAAATTGTGCAAAATAATGTATTCTCATATCTTTATTACAGATCGATTTTACTAAATCACAAAAAACTAATCACACTTATTGGACAAACACAGGTGGATTTCAAGGTGACAGCGGTACATCTCATTTAACCGATCGATTCACCAGGTGTATTGGGACTTCAAAATGAAGAAGAAGCTGGCTCACCTTGATGTCGAGGTGTACAATGTGATTTTCGTGCATGTGTTGGAGACCGGATAACAACTGTCGCACGTACTTGATCACTTCAGCTTCGCTCATTGTGTAGCCATCATCGGCAATGCGATCAAACAACTCGCCACCTGAGAGACTGTTAAAAATGTAAAAAAAGTAAATATGTCAGCCAAACCTCTTGAGTCTGAAAGGGGGTTTAGGAGTGTAAGAGTTTTAACTCGGATGAAAACAAGATGAGGACCTAATGAAAAATAAAATGCTGCATTCACATCGTTCACCCAACGCGGGCAGACAATATCAAATTAATATACAACGGCGCATTTCATCTTTACGCGTTACCTTCCAAGTTACTTGTGAATGTAAGTGCTAAAGCTGTCAATAAGGCGGTAAAGTTGTTAAATTCATTTTATAAACATTGACCAACTAAAAACAATAAATGGCTATGTGGTTATCAAATGAGATACGTAATCTACCACCCAAAATATATAATTGAGGCAATCATTCATTTTGCCCGCCGATTTCTACGTTTGACCTCACGGCAACTGTTTTAGCTAGGCTTTGTTTTCAAAGTGACTCACAATTCGAGCACCATGGCGGTTTCGGTTGGCTCCGAGAACACTTCGTGGAGATGCATCAGTTTGGGGTGATTTAACAACTTCATTATGTTAGCTTCATTGTTGACAACAGCACGCTCAGCTTCTGTTGGTGTGGGTACGAATTTGACAACATAGATTCGACCGGTAGCTTTCTCCTTGGCTCTGTGTACGACTCCGAACGATCCACTAAAGCCAACGTCAATAATTGGGCTAATACTTTAAAGCATAGTACTTTCTTGAACAAAGTTACTTTAAATAGTTGAAAAGCATCACAAAGCGGACATAGGATTTCATCTTTCACCAGACCTATTAATATAGTTGTGTATTTTTCGCAACAAAGATTAAATCTTCCTTGACTTGAAATTAAATTACATACTTTACTAGTTGACAGGATTTAAATTATTTAGCAGTTAAGCTTGACAAAAAATAATTTTGGAAGGAAAACGTAACCTCGAGGTGCAACCAGACGCAAACTAAACTAGTTGGTGAATGAACGCTCGCCAGTCTTAATCAAAACACGAACTGCTCTCTTATAGTTCAATGCTGGTCACTACCAAAAGTTCATGGTATATAGGCGGAATACAAGCTCTACGCGCCGTGTCGTTTTCGCTGGCTAGGATCGTTCAAACTCTGTAGAATGAAGAGATAAACATGGTTAGAATTATACAACAAAACTTGTACCTACCTTCCAAGTTCTTCAAGGATCTCGTAGTAATCGTAGATATTACCCGAGTTGAAGTTAGTCGGAAGAGGTGCTCCTTTGCGCCAAAGACCTTCATCTATGATACATTGAAATTACAAAGATAGCACACTATTACAGCATCTCAACAATTTGCGTATTTAAAAAAATCAAAAAATAATGCAGTCCTGGCTCCACGGAGCATTACCTATGAGACCACATCAAACAACGGAGGAATGGTGTCCTCGATGTTATCGAGGAATGCGGCAGTGGTGGAAATGGCTCAGTTACCCTTTCTAGCAGTAAATACATACAAGTGGGCTTAGCAAATACACTCTGTTTTTATGGATTCTGGAGGTAACTATCGTTTAGGAGGCGATTATCAGCCACCAGGCATGTAAATTTTATGCCAAATCACATTGGTTAATCTTTTACAGGATAAATTGTCTTCGGAGCGATGGGTGATCTACTGATGGGTGCTGATAAACGGTTGTGTCTACGAGCGACTTCCCCTAAACGCATGGCATTTCATTCGGTGTGATAGATAAGTATTTGTGCCAAACCACTATTCAAGTAAAACAAAATTTTGAATTATAGCACATTATGAACAAACGAATCGCGGGAAGGCATTTATGGATTTAAATGCTATTGTACAGAACCTAAATTCAATGATTAGGAGTAGTTTTAATTTTGTGAAACTAAGACCAATTAAAAGTTATCAGAGAAAGTACAAAGACGGAAATGATGATGGAAAAGTAGAGCATCTTACAAAACCGGTCATAGTCTGAAATTGGAGGACCGTCATAAGATCCCCGCGGTTCCCCATCACCAAGTTTGTGACGTTGCCTACTGCGGTCTTTGTCGTCATATTTGATCACAGTTGGATCAGAGGGTTTACTTGGGTCGCTACGTCCGTGAAGGTTGTCGGCATAGACCCGAAACCGGTACTCGTGTCCATTCTGGAGACCATCACAGTAATAGGTAGAGAAGCTAAAAAACACATCCTTAGTAATTAGTCCTGTCATCTGGCTTTTATAGATAGTATAGTAACCAAGGCATTCGGTTAGTTGGTGAAATGAAATATCAACCTAAATTTGAAGTCATTTCCTAAGGATACACAAAAGACACCAAGCTTCATTCAACGACTTTAGAATTTAGCTTTATTTCATCGAAACTCGTCGAAACGGTATCGAACCTCTTTCGATTTGTAAAAGGCCTCACTACATCCGTGAAACTACGTGTGGTCCTTTGTTGAATGGTCAAGTAGTCGCTCGACGACCTAAACGAGAATTTCGGGTGTAAAAGTAAGCAGGGCTGTGACTTGTTCTCAGTTTTTAAGTGTAGATAATTTGAATACTTGCAAATCGGGTAAATGAGTAAATATGTGGATGTGAGTGAGTTGTGATCAGGCTGGGTGGCAGAAAATGGGACTCCTTAGACCCAATTAGCCGTACCGGCTGATTCCAGCGCGGACCCAATTGTCACTCGAACCTTCAGCGCGTTCAATGATGTATTCTGAGACATATCCAGAATCGGGAGGCATATTCCACGAGAGAAGGGCGCGTCCATCCGAGATTCCTTCAACTCGCACATTAAAAGGTGGTGGAGGTCTGTCGTGGACCTTTAGGTCGATTGTGGCTGAATCAGCCCCCATCGAATTCTCGAGGGTAAGTGTAACCTTTCCAGTAGTGTTTTCGTCGACGTTAGATAGAGTAAGGATGGCGTGGCGTCTTTTAACTTCCATTTGCACGTTTTTGCCTTCCTTGAGTTCCTTGCCATTTAAAGTCCATGTAGCTTTTGGGGCAGGGTGGGCGACAAATGGAGCTTTGATTTGGATGGTGTCACCACGTTCCCAATCTGTCGGTTCACGCCAACGTTCAGGAAGATTAATTTGTGGCTTGGCTGAAATATAATTATGCATTTTAGCCGTATTTTAATTATTTATGTATGCTATCATATTATACTTGTTACTATCAATAAAATAACAAACCCTAGATGCAGAGGCTTACACGGCTTGCAATGAGGTCATGAAGGCAGACCAATAGGAGAGGAAGTATGCCTTATCAATGAGTCGAACATGGGAAATTTTGTGAAATCGATAAATGAACAAGAAACGTGCTAATAGAAGAACGCATAAGGGTGCTTTTTGTGTAGTGTTCTGCAGAAAAAGGACATCAAATACGATAAGAATCTACATAAATTGGGCATAAGCTGGCTGGTTCATATTCCCCAAAAGGAATTTTTGATTCGACAATAAAAAACATCATATCTTTGAGCTTCAAAAGCTGTATGTGTTGCTCTGAAGTGATTAATAACGCTGGTAGATATTACTGTATTTACCGAAGCTTAAAATAGTGGGTCGTTTTATTATTCAAGCACTAAATGTACACAAAATGAGCCTATTTATTATTGTATACTTGAACAGTGTCGGAGAAGGCTTTGTTTGCACCTTGTGCTGATGATTTCCAAATTAGTGCAATGTTTAAAAATCGAAAAATTGGCAGTATGCTTAAACCAATGTGACCAGGCGCTTACTGTTGACAGAGAGGGGGGCGCGGCTGTATTTCGTGCCACCACGGTTCGAAACCCTGACGCCATACTCTTCGGTGTCCTCGCCGTGACAATTTGCGATGGTTAGCGTGCACACCCTACCTTCTCGGGACATATCAATCCGATTTGACGGGACGAGCTCGCGATCCCCTTTATACCATGTCACATCATACGGCGAAGAACAGTCTACCTCAATTTCAAATTCGGCGTCACGGCCCTCGTTTACAGTGAGCGGTTTCAAAGAACGTAGCAATTGCGGAGCAGCGCAACCTAGGGTTAAAAGAATTTCAAGTACACCCAAAGAATCAATAACGATGAGATAGATTTAAAAGGCGATTAATTACTCTGAGGATCCTTAACGACGACTGGACTGTCAATGCTGGATGGCGGGCTTTCACCAGCATCGTTTACTGCAATCACACGGAATTCATATGACTTGTCTTCTAGGAGGTTGGGTAGATTGTAGGAAAGAGTCTGAATTGGATTCAAATTGACGCGAGTCCAATTTGTGGCGCCAGCTTCGCGTTTCTCAATGAAATAACCTAGGAGACGACCACCACCATCGTTGGATGGACGCGACCATGTGAGATTAACAAAGTTTGAACCAACATCCGACACAGATATTGGACCAGGAGCGCTGGGTTTATCTAAAAATATAGATAGTGAGGTTAACTTTCCAAAATTTCTTTGATAATTTTCTCTTCAGAAACTTCTGCTCAAAGAAATTCTGGTCCCTAAAAACAGTTCATCAATACCACTTTGAACTAATGGTTTGTATTTTACCAAGAGGATTATCTAATAATGATGGCTATTAGTCTTCTTAATGTTGCTCCCAAACTCTAATAAATGAAAATGTACCATCAACGAAATCACAGCTTACCCACACAGTGGGAGGCTGATTCACCACATTACAATTAAACATTATCCATCCGAATTTCGAAACTGGAACGAACATAAGACACACCTAACGAAAGACTCATTTCGTGTGTAGTTCTAACTTGCGCACTAAGTTCACGTTTGTTTAAGTTTATTTAGTTCGTTTAGTTTACAGATCGAAAATGCTGTTCCCATTGAGCACTCAGTAAAGGAAAATCTCTACCGAATCCTAAAAGGGTCCATTTTAAAAGTATTGTGCTTACCGAAAGGATACTTGGCAACTGTTGGCGCGGTGGTGGTCAGCCATTCACCTTGACCCACATCGTTGACGGGGGCCACACGGAACAGGTAGCTGACGCCGTCGGTAAGGCCTTGAACCTCCGAGCTAAGAGAGCGGCAGGCTGACTGAACAGTTACCCAGTTATCCGTTCCAACCTCTTGCCTTTGCACAACGTAGTGGGTAATCTTTGAGCCACCGTCGGAACGCGGAGGTCTCCATGAGAGACGTGTGCTGAAGGGCGTGGTGTCGGAAACCTGAAGTGGACCTTGGCAGGCGTCAGGTTCACCTAAAATTTGGTAAAATCGCTTAATTTATAAGAATTTGAAAGGAATATGTAGAATTATGCAAACGACAAGCTTGCCTTGAACCTTGAGGGTAAGTGGTACAGAAGTAGTACCGCTTTCGTTCGAAATATCCAGTGTGTACTGTCCGGCCATACTGCGGTCGATGTCTAAAACGTCAAAAAGTCATTTTATTTAACGCATCCTCCAAGATTATTATTCAAGTGAGATTTATCCCTGCCTCAATAGACTAATGAGAAAATGAAGTAGATCTTTCTGAGTTTTATTGAAGGACCTCATAGAAATGAGTTATTAAAAAGTTCATTTTTAAGTTCTGTGGAAAATTAAAACACTAATCCACTACTTACATTGCTAATCAGTTGTACCCCAAAATACTCCATGTGCTTCTACACACATAGCTCTGGGTCTTATGGAGATAAAAAGACATGTTCTATGACACCTTTCAAATCTAGATATTTAACCACTCTTCAGGATTCGAGATACGTTTACTCCAACAGTCATCCACTACAAAGACTTTTCTCCGAGGACCTTGATTACCAAAATTGAAGCTAAGAAATAGATTTCATTTTCTAGTAGGCTACAGTTAATTGTTAAAATAAAGATTAGAACTATAAAATCACAAGTGTTCAGGCCAACCTTTCATTTGAACAGAAGCTACGCCATCCAAGTCCATCAATTTGACAGCTTTCGATTCAGGCACCTCGCGACCATCCTTGTAGAGCTTGAGCTTGACGTTGCCTCTGGCAGTGTAGGGGACTTTAAACTTGACAAGATCACCTTCCTCCACCGTGCGTTCAGGTACGTCACCGAAGACCTGCGGTGCTCCAAACACATCAAGTGGGGCAGAACAGGCGATGCGGTTAACGGGAGTCACAAGCTCACAGGTGATGTCACCAGCATCATGTTCCGTCAGGTCACTAAGGACAAGGCGAGCTACGCCATCAGCGTCAGGACCGGTGATCTGAATTCTTCCAGTGGGATTGAGCTCCATGCCATTGTGCAACCACCGGATCCTTGGCATTGGATTTCCGTCTACTTGAACAGTAAACTCAGCCGTACCGCCAACACCCGTTGAAGCCGGTGATAGTTTAGTTATGAAATCAGCGGCAGCGTTGGCTGGAAAAAATCATGCCTTTTTAATTTCAGGTTTCAATTAAAAATTTTCAAAATTGTAATACGGTCTGTGACTGGTTACATAAACGATTACCTTAAACAGGTGAACACGGTGAGTTCTCAAGCTATTCAGTGGAATCAGTAGACAAAATGAAGACTTAGGGCTTGGCGCACAACAATTTTGACTTTAGATTGCGTTTGAAACCGCCTATCCCCTGGCATTTGAAATCAGTGATTTTCACAGAAGAAATGCCATGATTATTCCTGTATATTCATTGAATCAGGACGCCGACAGAGAACTTGCTAGTCTATTTAATCTGGGTGCTATACAGATCCTTGCAATGCACCTCAGTGACTTATTGATAATGCGCTTAATACCTAGAGATTCTAAATACAAAAAATGGAATCCCCTACCCACGGTCACTCATAAAAATGCAGAATAAAATGACTGAGAAGTAACTGTGCCCAAAAGTGAGTCACAAAAATTATTTTTTTGAGATCTTATCACCAGGCATTACAGGTAATCATCTTTACTGTTCAATATTCTACCTCGCTTGTCCTCAATCTTGGTCATTGGCGTCGACTGGCTAGGCTCTCCGCTTCCGGCAGTGTTGACTGGAATGACACGGAACTCGAATTCCTCTCCGCTAGGCAATCCACTTATGTTTGCAGATGTTCCAATGACTGGTGACGTAGTGGCAGGCAGCCAGTCAGATGAGCCACGTTGACGCTTTTCTACGACATAACTGGTGATGCGGGATCCACCATCTCTTGTTGGTGGCGTCCAAGACAAGTTGACGAAGTCGCGGCCCACGCTATCTACTGAGGGGATTCCAGTGGTTCCAGGGGTGGCTATGAGTAACAGCGTTAAAATGACAATGCATTGAATGCAAATCTATTAGATAACCTTTCGAGGAATTTGATGTGCACCTATTTTAATATATTAGAGCATTTCAAGTTGATTACGTTTAGGAGGACAGGGTACAGATAATTTTCGACTACTTACGGGGCAGCATCAAACCTTTGTAACTGATAACATTTAAGATAGTCTTCCAGATCGTATCGTATCGCATATCGCATTGTCGAAGTGAAGTTGTGAATAACACTTTGCGAGTGGTTGCGTAAGTTATCTCTGTGATTTCCTCTTGAGATAGCTTGGGATAACGGAAACATGGGAAAATACACGTGGCTATGCCTCAAAGTTGAGTCCATTGTGAAAATAAAGTTCATTTGTGATCTTAAGAAATAGATAGGAACCCTCATGGAGCACAACACTTACTATACTTTGGTTTGCATTCGACAGTTGGTGTCGGACGACTTGGTTCACCAATGCCGGCATCATTTTTAGCGGAAACACGAAACATGTAGCGCTTCCCCTTTTCCAAACCAGGCACTAAAATTCAAGCCGCATTAAGTCGATAATGCGAATACACATGAGGGTATGTGTGCATGTCCGAGAGGCGTGCATACCAGTTACCGAAGTTCCTTTGACCTGTCCTACAGTAGCTCGAGTCCATTCGCCATCGGGAGTCTTGTATTCGACAATATATCCAGTAGGCTTTTGAGTACCAGTACCCCGAGGCTTCACCCATTCAAGCGACACACTGTCCTCATTAACATCGGTGATCTCCAAATTCTGTGGTGAGTCTGGAACAGCTAAATTGAAACAGAAAATTACCGACTCCCATTTACTCCAATTTTCTAACAAAACACACACCCTACATAGCTATCAATGCTATGAGTCTATTTTATTTGCCTTTTGTAGTAACGGGTTTCCTCCGACAAGGGAGAGGGAAAATAGTTATCACCCAAACGAGTAATCGAATTACTATGAATTCCTACCAACACACGACCTCCCAAGGCCAGGTTTTATGTTCTACTTTTAAATGACAACCATCAGAATGAACATCACGCACCAGGAATTCATTTAGTCGTGCTATATTCACAGTCCATATAAGGGAATTAAAATATGTCGTTTGTCTGAAGAAAGATTTCGTCCCCTACAGCCAATCACTAGAAGTCATGCATTGGGGCGCGACATGCACTCGCGAAAGCGCCTGACCACGCGACGGCGTCATGATTCCTCTGTTGTATGAAGTGTTGCGGTTAGAAACTACGTGAAACAGAGAGGCGTGTTCTCTCGGCTTACCGGTTTTTACCTTAACAGACTTTACATATTTTTGGAAAATGCATTTAGAAATTACTGATTAAGATATAATAATTCCACACCTTTGGCATTTCTAATAACTTGGGGCAGCTCCCGACCTCCATGTATGTGGGAATTAATATTTAACAAACAATGCGCTAAGCTAGTTAGCAATAAAGTAATAATTTCAAAGAGCCGCTTGGCAATCAGTAACTTACTGGGTTCATCAACAGCAATAATGGTTCGTTCACCTTCAAGAGGTTCACTAACTCCATACTCGTTAACTGCTGAGACACGGAATTTGTACTTTTTGCCCGTGTCCAGGGAGGTCACCTCATACTCAGGATGTCGCACGAACTTGCTTACCGGAGACCAATCTCCGTTTTCGACGTCTTGTCTTTCGACAATGTAATTCGTCACAGGGGCTCCAAATGTCGCCTTGAAAAGTAAAAGAAGGAAATATGATTGCTAGAACTACCCAAAGCTTTCGTCATGGCGATCTTAAAAGAGTTAACAGAGAAGGTATCAACAGTAAGGTGGCATTGGTGCGTGAATAATTACTGTGGAGACGTAGTAGAAGGCGCCGGATGGAATGTGCGCGCAAACTAAAGCTATGCCGAGTGTTACGCACTGAGCGCATGCATGACACTGAGACGCGGAATCCATCGGGCATGTTTTTGTAAACAATAAGCAGAATCTGACTTGTAGCAAGGCCTAAAATAAAAGTGAGACTTACGGCTGGCGGTTTCCATCTAAGTTTGCAAGAATTGGCTGTCACATTAGAGACATCAAGTGGGCCAACGGGTGCTTCAGGTGGACAAAGAACGTTGATCTTAATTGGTCTATGGTCGGACCCCTTTTGATTCGAAATTTTGATATCATAGACGCCGGTGTCGTCCTTCTCAGAAGCCGGAGTACTGATAATTACTTCGTCAGGTGTGATTTCGACGGCAAGGCGGGTGTTTGGTAACAAAACTGGTTTGCCATCCTTGAAAATTTAAGAGGTCAGTTAATTAACCTGTTGAAATTAGGGCCAATTATTCAAATTTATGGACGTGCAACCAACTTATAGAGGTTGATGATAATAAACCCCTGTGACTAGCTTTTAACTTTTTGAATTTAAGGTAGTGCGTTAACGATTTACAATTTATTCCGTTTCCCTGAATGCCGTATGCCTCACGACTCAAGTTCAAGCTCCAATGGTTCATAAGCCAAAACTAACTATGCATTTACGATATTGATAAGCATTCTTCCGTCTAAGTAACGTCTTTGGCCGTCAAATTGAATAAATTGCCTTGAAAATCAAGGTTCTTGCGTTAAATGTAAACCGACGGACTGCAGACCTTTTAAAATGTTAGTTTGCCTAAAATCTACATACCTTCGTTAGCTCTACAGAGGAAGGTGGTGACCCTGTAAACGGTACTCGGATCCTAAGAGGCTGACCAAACACGGTGTTGATCTCGGTGGGCGTCTCAATGGAAATTTTTGGAGCTTCAATCGGCTTTTGCACTTTGATGAATCCAGTGGAGTTGCTCGGCTCGCCGTTACCAGCTGCATTGTAGGGAACCACGCGGAATTCGTACTCATTACCCGTTGGCAGACCCTTCACCGTGTACGTGTTTCCAGTTACATTGCCAACGTTGGCCCTGTAAAATAAACAAAGGTTTTCTTGATTTAGAATTAATGGCTAATTTACCATTGAAGTCCAGGCAGATCTACAGTTCAAGTTATTAAAGAACTCAACTTCTAAGCTTACAGAGATCGCAGTTTAGTTCTACCAATTTTATCTCATGGATTTCAAATTAATAAAATAGAATAGACGAATCCCCACCAATAAAAATCCTCAAACTTACTTGGTCCATTCGCGAGAACCTTTCGGTTTCTTCTCAACAATATAGCCGGATACTGGACCTCGGGTTGGGGGGTTCCACGAAAGGGTAACGCTGTCGTCGGTCGAATCTGTAACGTAAGGCTCTGACATTCCAGATGGCGGATCTAAAATATTTGTAAATTTCACAAAATGAATAAATGTAGCGAACCTATAATTCATATTCCTAATAAGAACTTAAAATTTGCAAGCTACAAACGCAATTGCTGTAAGTACTTGGAACTAAATGACACACCAAAGGGATGTTTTGGTCGGATGCTTCCGTTGGTCGTTAGGGGCTCACTAACGCCGTACGAATTCTCCGCCATGACACGGAATTCATAGGGTTTGCCCTCATCCAGATTACGGACGGTCACTTCAGGAGAGTGGAGGAAAGCGCTGACCTTTTGCCAACTAAACACAAAACAAGCTAAATTTTTTTAGCGGTACACATTGTGCTTGTATGGACGAAGGGGATCCATTAACCCACAGTTATGGACTGATAGTTGGGACAAATGAATGAGGTAGGAAGGCTGTGATAACGGAGCAATAAATCAATGCAACAAGGATAGAGCCCGTCCTTAAAAGTGCAAATTGCTCTATAATGAAGTTTTTGTCTAAGTAGTTTCACAAGAGTGGTGAAAATGAGTTGCTCGGATTATCGGGTTTAACATCAAAATGATACATAGAACCGATTAGTTCTAGTATGTAGAACAAATGCGGCACTACTCTACATTAGATTACATGATTTTCAAGTCACTACTAACCATAAGCTGCCACCGACTATTTTTATCAAAGGGTTAAATTTATAAATCGAAATTTACTCGTCAGAAATTAATCGAGAATTTTTTATTCGAGTTTGCTGAAGGTTAAATTTGTGGGAAACATACCTCTCGATAAATGATTAAATAACAACAAATGTTTGCGCCCTTACAACGCTCTAAGGAGATAACGACAAGATAAGGAAAATGGCCATGGACGCCTACTTGTCTGTGCCAGCGATTCTTTTCTCCAAAATGTAATTTTTGACTGGCTCTCCACCGTCGTCTTCTGGTGCACTCCACTTCAGAGTTACTTCATCAGCTTTGATGTCGACAGCTTCCAATGGACCCCTGGGTGCACCAGGAGCATCTACACGACAAAATTTGCAACAATCACCAACCCGGCTTATAGATCATTCCACTAGCTTATTACCACAATTTGATTATTGCCATATTTGAAGAATTCCGTTTACTCTGTTAAATTTAATTCTACGTTGCATATTTGCTACCACACTTCACCGCTTTTTTTATTATCAACACTACTGTCACGTTAATAATTAATCCAACGTAGAGATGTGGTCATCCACCATACCTGAACAGTTATCATGAACAAATCTGTAAGTTCATCAAATCATTTAATTGGTTGTGACCGTTATTTTAATAGTCTTATCAGTCTATCAATTAATGGCAGACCGATACCTGAGTTACTCAGAAAAAAACTTCACGAATACATTAAGGACGATGCAGGACTACGAGAAACTTAAGTGTTTAAACAATTCAATGCAGTTTTGTTTAATCCGACTTTACTACCACTGCATTACTGCTAATTTTGCATAGTAGCTTGATCTACGTATAATACAACCATGTGATGTTGCTAAAAGGATTTGAGCCACTCACCAAGCACAGTAACTGTGCAAGAGCTACGCGTTTGTCCGTGTGGATTCTCAAGTAAAACGCCATACTGTCCTGCGTCCGTGCGTTTGGCCTTTTTGATAACAAGGACAGAGGTCCCAGCTGGATCCTCTGCCAGGTATCCACCAAGAAGAGGCCGCGCTGAATGAGGAGCGTCTTCAGTCGTAGCCTTCACGCGCTCACCATCCAGCGAAACCGGCTTGTCATTGTGAATCCAACGGGCAGTGGGGGCAGGGCTGGCAAACCAGGTCAATGCGAGCCGAATTTCTTGACCAGCCTAATGCAAAATACCGTTAGTTCACAAAGAATCCACGTTGACGGTATTTGGAACTCACCTTCACAGTGATGTCCTTCAGACCTCCAATACCAGACCCGGGACCATCAATAAGTCCATCAGAGGAATTTGCTATTCGCGGAGCTGCGGGCTGATCCTCTGCGGTGACTGGTGGAGTGGGACGACTGGGTTCACCCTCTCCTTCCTCATTGATAGCTCGTACCCTGAATTGCGTCTTTTCGCCTTCTTTCATGGGAATGAAGGCTTCTGGTTCAGTGGTCTGTTTCACTGGCGCCCAGTTACCGTCACTGTCCAGTTTCTCAACAACATATCCGGTGATTGGAGAACCACCATCGTTGCGCGGTTTCTTCCAGGACAATTTGGCGCCATTCTTGTTCACTTTGTCCACGTTGAGACCATCAGGCGAACTCGCAGGCACTAGAATAGAGGTTATTGTGATGACAAAAATTACTTAACAATCCCACTGAAAATTTAATATTTTGGCTGAACTCACCTATCTTATCTTTCATTATATGAGGCATTGTCGGTCTCGAGAAGTCTCCAGGCCCTCCGTCGTTGACAGCAGCGACACGAAATTCGTATTCACGACCTGGTTCAAGGCCAGTCAAAGTGACCTTTGTGTCTGAGACAAGTCCTGGTGTTGCAGTAACCCACTGACCCCTGGGTGTGCGTTTTTCAACAAGATATCCCTTGATTGGATTGCCTCCATCCCGTTCAGGGGGCTTCCAAATCAAAGCTACCGAATTGCGGTCATAATCGTCAATTTTTACAGACTGCGGAGCATCGGGGTTATCTAACAAGGTATAAAATTTTGTTAACTCTTTTAATTTAATAACACCATTACTTCAACGAGAGTAGTCCTACCAAACGGATTTTTAGCAAGGATTGATAGGTGAGTTTCTGTGGGTTCTGAGCGACCGAGGGCATTGATAGCTGCCACTCGAAACATGTACCGGTGGCCTTCTGCAAGTCCTTGAACATCAACCGAGTTTTCATGAATAGGACTAGTGATAGGCGACCACACACCCGTAGCTTCATCACAAACTTCGACGGCATACCCAGTGATTGGTAAGCCCCCATCAAAAAGAGGGGGAGTCCATTCAACTTTGCAGGAATTGGCAAGAATGTTCCTGACGCTTACTTCATCGGGACCTTTGGGTTTGGCTGAAATGAAATGAGGTTCTTTTAAAGACTTAGTCACCAAAGTTTGATTGAGATAAGACGATATTCCAGGAGTACCTCACGTCTGGTGTTTATACAGGAATAATAACCAAGAGTGACTGCCTAAATATGACGTGCTTTAATGTCAGCGACTGAATTCTTGCAAGAGTAAAACGGCATACATGTAAAAACATGCAAATTACTTTTCTTTGGTTCAACTTTGGTAAGTTCAGAAGGTAGAGACGGGTTGCCAGGACCAGCAGCATTGACGCCACGAACACGGAATTCATACTCTCCTTCAGGTTCGAGTCCATCAACCGTGACTTTTGTTGCTGTAGCGGGCAAATTGGCCGCCTTGCTCCAGTCGCTTTCACCCAACTTCTTCTTCTCCACAATGTATCCAGTAAGCTTAGAACCACCATCCCGGACGGGCGTGGACCAGGAAAGTGTCACCTGGTTCTTGTCTACGTCTTCGATGCGTGGCTGTCCTGGGGCATCAGGAGCATCTAAAGGGGTTGGGGGTAAGAGCTCAACTGTAAACACTATAGACAAGATTTTAACATACATTACTTGAAATATTTGCATTCAAAAAACTGGAATGGTATTTTAATACAAGCGTTTTTTTGCAAGATTCTCAAATGAACTTAATATACAGAAAACTCTGTTAGTAAATGCAAACGTTTAGTCTAAAAATTAACATAGCTGTTAACACTCGAAAGTTGGGGTGCAAATTCTTGTGTTTAGTGAGGCATTGTGGCCCCCACAATAAATCTTGACCAAACCACAGATTACACACTTTAGCTTCGGAAGTAGGGCGAAGTAATTAATAGAATTCATCAATCCATTTTCGAATAAAAAAGAACTCGTTTTACACCACTGGGGAAGAGATGTGCCATGTTAGAGTCAAAAAGTTACCACATCAAGAATGTCACAGTCTTCGTACCGTATTTGGGCTTGCAGACCACCGGCCTGGTTGATGAGCATGGTTCACCCACACCGGCGGCGTTTCTAGCACTGACACGAAACACGTACTTCTCACCCTTGCGTAAGCCATTAACGGTCGCCATTGTGTCCTTAGTACTTGGAGCCTTGATCCAATCATCGCTACTTGCAGGCTTATATTCAACGGTATAGCCTGTTATCTTCGATCCTCCGTCCTTTCGCGGTTTCACCCAAGATAATGTAACCTCCTCAGCGTCCACGTCTGCTACCTCGAGGCTGCTCGGTGAACCGGGAGGAACTGAAGTGCCAAGAGAGCATTTGGCAGTAAGCAGACCGTATGATGATGCCGTATGTGTTCTTCGACTTTTGAAATCTTGTTTTTACAGGAACAATCGTCGTTTCAAAGTGCATGACCACGGGCTTAGCAAAAGCTTCGCAATTTTTTATCGTGACTTTCCTTTGTCTTGCTGTGTTACCATCGACAATAGTCGCTGTGGAGTTCGATACCCATACGATAGAAGTGCTGAACTGAACCGCGTTCGCCTATCATAACAGCCAGCGTCATAATACTTGAAGTGTTACACTAATTATCCCAAAGTTGTTTGATTTGATATAGTCGCATCTATGGCAGTAGACATCTCAATGTGTGTGCATTAGCATACGACTGCAACAGAACCCAACCAGTCATTTTCATTATTTACCAAGTCTTGCGAATACAATGGACACCAGCAGAGATGGACGGATAGACTTGGGCGAGTCGCATATTGAAAGAGAATTTTTGACAGTTCAAAATTAAATTACTTTCACCATTATATTCATTTAATTTATATGGCCACGCCTTGTATGCGGTCATGACATTAGTGCTTCTTAACTTGGAGCACGTTAAAAATTAAGTTTCTGTCTACAACTTTAAAATGATCTCACCAACAGGGTTCTCAGCTGTTATTGGTGAATTAGACTCGAGTGGTTCACTAGCCCCATTTTCATTTACGGCCTTGACACGAAAGTTGTATCGTTTCCCTTCGTCCAAGCCAGAGACTTCTAATTCTGTTCCACGGACGTAATTACTAACTGGAGACCACTCGCCAGTTTTCAGATCTTGCTTCTCCACAACGTAGTTGGTGATCGGTGAACCTCCGTTGTCCTGAATTGTAAGGAATCCACTTATTCAATTTGAGAGAATTCATGTATGAATAAGATATGGTAAAATCATTCACCTTTGGGGGTTTCCATTTAAGTGTGCAGCCTTCAGCAGTGATATCTGTAGCTTCGAGTGGACCAGTGGGAGATTCAGGTGGACGCTTCACATTTACTTTAATAGCTACTTGATCTTTCCCCTTTTCATTGGTGAGGGCAACTTCGTATTGACCCTCGTCATCCTTCTCCGCCTTCAAGTTCATTATTATTACCTCGTCGGGAGTGACTTCCACAGCAAAGGAACCACTGGGCAGATCCATTTTCTTCCCATCCTTGGTGAGGGTGATGGTGTCCGGTGGGGTTCCCGTGTAGGGGACATGAATTTTGAATGGTTCGCCTAGAGTAGCATTGACCTCTCTCTTCAAGTCCCCGATTCTGGGTGCAGCTGTAATTATGCAAAAGATTAAGACCATGTTCTAACCTAGATGTAAAACTCAATTGTTGAATTCTACTTACTTGGTGGTTCACGAACCGTTACAGTTTCTGAGGGTTCACTAGGCTCTCCGTGACCTGCTGCATTGATAGGGACAACTCTAAATTGAAACTCTTTGTTTGTCGGCAGACCCCTGATGGTAGAACTCAAGCCTGAAATCGTTCCAGGGTGCGCTCTTAAAAAGTAAAATCATTTAGAGGAGAAAAAGGGGTGCAGCGAATCATAAATTGGGTAAGAACATACTTTGCCCAGTTCCTTTCACCTTTGGGGCGCTTCTCTATAATATATCCGGATACAGGACCCTTTTGGGGTGGTTCCCACGACAATGAAACTGAATTCTCGGTAGTTCCTTCGACTATTGGTTTTTGCATTCCAGAAGGTGGATCTTTGAGCAAAATGGACAAAATGCAGATAAAATAATTATCAGAAAGTCTCAATCGTCTTTAAAACTAGTCTTACCGAAAGGGTGCTTGGCTTTAATGGCCTTGTCAGTCATGAGTGGCTCACTAAGACCCATGGCGTTTTCGGCCATAACTCGGAACTCATACTCGACGCCTTCTTCTAGGCCACGAACTGTCGCGGTAGGAGACTTAATAAATGCACTAACTTTCTGCCAGCTAAATGGAAAAAAATGTGGATGTGAGTAACCTAAACCTGGGTGCGCTAAGTAAAGGTTTAATATTTACTTTCACCCTACGAAAGGTTATTTTTGTATTAAATAATATTTGCCTTGCGAAATCGCATAGTTTTTAAAAGTAGCAAGGCCAGTTTGCAAATAGACGTGGGCGTTGAATCTCATTAGGTGGCAGATTAAAATGACGCTGAATTAAGAACAAAATACTCACTCTCCAGAGCCTTTGGGTCTTTTCTCAAGAACATAGTTGGTTACTGGCTCGCCTCCGTTATCCTCTGGAGGTTTCCAGCTCAGTGAAATTTCATCAGCCTTTACATCGGTAGCCTCCAGTGGTCCCTTTGGCATGTCAGGAACGTCTAGTCAGATGTAAGTCGGTATAATTCATTGCACGCCACCATCGTTATCAAACGAATTCTACACGAGGACCTTACCAATAACAGTAACTTTGCAAGAAGAAGTGGCTTGACCAAGTTCGTTTTTGAGCAGAACTTGCCACTGACCAGAGTCGACACGGGAGGCTCTGGGGACCCGAAGCACGGAGGTCCCACCTGATTCTTCCTCCAGTGGACCACCCAGTAATTGGGAAGCGGAACGTGGTTGAGGCTCAGTAGTCATCATGATCTTACGATCTCCACCATGTGACACTGGTTCACCATTTTGAATCCAAGTCACAGTTGGTGGTGGGTGGCCAAACCATGCGATCGGCAGTCTCAACTCCTGACCCGCCTGTCAGACGGATAACAGCGTCAAAGGTATGCAAGTAGATGTATGTTAACCCAGCATGACTAGCCGCTTAACTATCGTTCTCAACGGTTTCAAGTGGGACATAGACGCCATGTCTATATCTGCACCATGTTTATTATTGATTCAGCCAACTAACGTAATATGTTTGAGCAAGAAAGGTTAGTTAAAGCCTCCTTATTTGGCTCTTTAGAAAAAAAGTCTATTTACGCATGTTCCAGTTTGCCGTTAGCTGTCACAAAAATGCCTACAATGTCATTTTTATACCATCCAATTGTTTAATACCTTTATCGTGATGTCTTGAAGACCTCCAACTCCAGAACCTGGACCACCAAGAACTCCGTCTGCAAGGGTTATAATCCTGGGCGGAGCCGGCTGATCCTCTGCGGTGACTGGTGGAGTGGGACGACTGGGTTCACCCTCTCCTTCCTCATTGATAGCTCGCACCCTGAATTGCGTCTTTTCGCCTTCCTTCATGGGAATGAAGGCTTCTGGTTCAGTGGTCTGTTTCACTGGCGCCCAGTTACCATCACTGTCCAGTTTCTCAACAACATATCCGGTGATTGGAGAACCACCATCGTTGCGCGGTTTCTTCCAGGACAATTTGGCGCCATTCTTGTTCACTTTGTCTACGTTGAGACCATCAGGCGAACCAGCGGGAGCTGTGAAATTTAAGAGTTAATAAGCGTCTAGAATTTAAAGTGATGAATGAGAAAACATGGCTTCGAACTTTTTCATTACCCGCTAGGTAATGGAGTGACATTAAATTAATTTGAAGAAGGAATGCAATATGGGCTGAATTAGTTGATGGACAGGCATTTAAATTCAGACCTACATCTTTCTGAGGCGTGGAAGCCAATTTCGCAAGTGCTGAGTGTGGCAAGATGGATGATGATAAGCCAAATGGGCATCGTAAATAAGCCCACTCGAATTGGTTTGACAAATGAGCGTGGAAACATGCAACGTTAGGTGGCCTTCAAGTGACCGACAATGGCATTGTCAAATTGGCAATAACGTCCCATTTTAACGCACTTATTTTTTTCTGACAACTGGATGGTATTTCCCAAAAAAATTATTTCACAGACGAGGGAAATTGGAGCATCGTGTGGCTTTCTCAAAATAGCTTACTTGTTTTATCCTTGATCAGTTGTGCCTGCGTGGCTCGAGAGAAGTCACCAGGACCACCAGCATTGACGGCAGCTACCCTGAATTCGCATTCTTTTCCAGTGAGTAGATTGGGAATGGTAGCCTCAGTTCCAGAAACCAAGTTAGGCAGAGCCTTTATCCATTCGCCCTTACCAACGCGTTTCTCTATCAGGTAGCCTGAAAAACATGGTTGATGTGATGGCTCGTCACAATGGGACTATTCAATAGCCTTGTTAGGTTACGTCATGTGAGTGGCACTCACATATCTACACATTAATTTGATGAACCAATTCAGACAAGCAAAATGCAGCAGACCGCTCGACGATGTTATTATTAACATATTTAAGTGAATATTGTTTAATTCTGTCAGGTAAATTCGAAGTTCCCGTGATCAGAATTTTCTGCCTCTTTTGTGGCTTTATTCAAACTTGCCTATGATCGGGCTTCCTCCGTCTCTCTCTGGGGCTTGCCAAGAAATTGATGCAGAGCTCCTGTCATAGTCGATCACTTTGGCCGAAGTTGGTGCGTCGGGTGCATCTAACAGTCCAAAACAAAAAAATCTAACAAAATGTTTTGATTGTATCAAAACAATAATCCATCTAATTATAAGAGTACCATTCTACAAAGATTACCGCTTTCTGAACTAAAAATTTACTAAAGTAACAGAAGGAGGCTTATTTTTGAAGCTGAGACGATAACAAAACCGATTAGATTCTAATGTTTGTTCATACAAACCAAGGACCGTTTTTCGTCAGCTAATGCTGCTTTTATGGGTTAAACAACACATGAAATTTACAAACTAAATTACTATTTGATTTGGTGGCAGTGGATGCCATATCAAGGTCATACTCATTCGTCGAAGGTAGCAACATTATTCAGTTTTATTTTTCTACGCAAAATGAATTTGGTCTTGGTATGGATCACAGCTGGTTCACTGTCACCTTAATCAATGGCTTCAAACAAATTAGTCGTAAATACCATCAAATTAAGTTTCACTTGGGCGTAGATTTGCATATTATTAAATTTTTCACGTAGATGTTGTGCACATTTAACTACATTTTCGTTTTAATTGCCAGGAATTTAATGCTTTAGCACGATTTATAATCAATTACAGTCTAAAACAGTTGGAATACGATCTATGATGAAAATCGGATTGACTTAGAGAAAAAGTCCCCTTACCAAACGGATTCTTAGCCAGGACAGAAGTGAGAGTCTCAGCAGGTTCAGACTGACCGATTGCATTGACAGCAGAAACGCGGAAGAGGTATCGTTTACCTTCCACTAAGTCGGTAACCGAAACCGAGTTGTCATGAAGTACGCCACGGACAGGCGACCACACGCCAAGAGATTCGTCAAGTTTTTCCACAACGTAATCTGAAGTATATGAAAAAACTCGAATATTCAAGAATCGTTGGTGGAGTTTTTACCGTTGTTATGACAACTTGCCTGTTATTGGGCTTCCTCCATCGTCCTTGGGTGGCTTCCACTTTAATGTGCAGGAATTTGCCATTATGTTAGTGGGAGTAACATCTTCTGGGGCATCAGGCGTAACTGGAGGGGCAAAAGACAGCTTCGTAAATTTAAAAGCGATGCTGGCCACCAGTACCAGCTTCAATCAATGCTGATTTCGTTGGTGACTGTTAAAACTAATCCCTGACATTCCAGTATATTTGTTATGAAGTCTTCACTCCTTTTCTACTTAAAGCCCTATAGTTTGATTAATTAAACTTCAGTTTTTACTAATCCAAAGCTTCAACTTAATGCCTTTTCTGCTTAATCAAGAAAGTGTTTGGATCACCTTTTTTCTTGGCGACCTTGACCATCTCCGTGGGAAGGCTAGGCTGACCGGGTCCAGCTGCATTGACAGCCCTCACCCGGAATTCGTAATCAGCATTTTCAACCAGGTCTTCCAACTTTGCTGCAGTCCCAGTGATTGGCTCTCCACCACTAATGGCAGGTTCCCAGTTGGCACTGCCAATTTGCTTCTTTTCGACAATGTAACCAGTAATACGTGCGCCTCCGTCTTTGGATGGAGCCGTCCATACTAACTCGACAAAGTTCCTGTCCACATCCTTGATAGAAGGCACGCCAGGAGCATCAGGTGCGTCTGTTGAAAAAAGGTAGAGGCTAATCGCGAAGTCAACCTTGTAAGTTTTCGGCAATTCATGGCCACTTTAATAATTATAGAAGACAAGATCAGAGAGCCGTCGAGAGTGGAATTCGATAATTGTCTTAGGGGTAATTTACATTTAAGGTAGAAAAAACACTAAAAGTCAAGCATTCAGAGCTTCAGTTAAGTCAGATTGGCTTGTAAGTTTTTAGTTAGTATTGCGAATCCTTGTTTAATTTATCCTTTTTAATTCTTTAATTTCGGGAAAAATGGGAGTAAAATATGACTTCATTGCCTAGGTGCAGCAAAATATATCCAGGCACATTGGCAAGGAGAAAAGGAGTCGCACCATATTTTGGTTTACAAAGAACTGGTCTAGAAGTTTGGACTGGTTCACCGACCCCGGCCTCGTTCTTTGCGCTGACACGGAAAAGATACTTTTCGCCCTTCTCCAATCCGCTCACTGCAAAGTAAGAAACACTGTTACCTGCAGGTTAATGCAGATTGGTCAAAGTGAGGACAAAACACGCACCCGTTCCTTCGGTGTCTTTACCGCTGACCCCCGTGCCCTTCGTCCACTCGCCTCCCAGTGCGGGCTTGTACTCAACAATGTATCCGGTAATTTTTCCATTGCCTGTCTTGCGCGGCTTTGTCCATCTGAGTTTCACACTGTCCGCATCGACGTCACTTATCTCCAGGTCACCAGGTGGGCCAGGAGGAACTAAAGGAGAGGACAAGTTGCATTGCCGGATTAAAGTGCTTATATCCACCCTGCTTTATACGTTGTGTTAATTACACCCTCTGTATGTGCGTGGTTGACTCCGTCTACGTCAGCTGATATACATTATGAATGGCTTAAGGCAACACTCATGTCATTCTGCCCCGAATTTGTGTCTTTGGACAGACAGAAGAATTGGCTTCACCTGAACACAATTGGTTCATGTTCCCTTGCAAAGTAGAGAGTAGTCTTAACGTGAACTTCCATTCGATAAATGTATTGAGGCGAACAAATACCCACTGTATGCTAAACATGTTAACGTGTTACGTAATTACATTTCCATTATCTGAAACAAAACCGACTGAACAAAACCCCACGTGGTTCATCTAAATAAAAACAAGGCGCATTACTCTTGAATAAACTACCACTATTGGCTCCTAACCATACCTCGGCCTTATTTCGAGATGCACTACTTATTTTGTGCTTTCATGTGGGCATCATCAAGGTGTGCATAAATCAAAGGGAGTTGAAAAGATGTGGGTGTATCCTAAGGGTGGAAAGTTGACGGAGCACAAGACCTTAATAGACCTTCGAAGTAATCTGATTTGTCTGTTCTCATTGCATACCAATAGGGTCTTCTGTCGTAATGGCTTTATTGCCCTCAAGAGGTTCGCCTGGTCCGAATTCGTTGGCTGCTCGAACACGGAACCGATACTGCTTGCCTTCTGTGAGATCTGACACATCGAACTGTGGCATTCGGACAAAGGTGCTCACAGGAGTCCACTCGCTGCTGCTGCCTTCCTGCTTCTCAACTACGTAGTTTGTAATTGGAGCTCCGCCGTTTTCCTGCAAATATCAACGGTTATTCCGTTAGAAATCTTTAATTCTTTTTACGTGCTACTCATCATAACGCATTTCCACCACCATAGCAACCATTTGGTGCAAAATTGATACAAGTAAAAATCGATTACCAAAGTGTTACTTAGAAGTTTCCACTCATTCCCATTTCGACGATGGTTACTGAAAAAAATAACATCTTTTTGAACGTAGTCAGTGCCTGGGGTAACACCAAAACTACTAGGCCAAATAAAAACAAATTCAGCCATGCCTAGACATAGTATGCCAAGCGTTGGCATTTTAAGTACCTTAATATGTTCTAATAGACATCAAGGTTTTTTCAGTTCTAATAATTAAAATCCATGTTTTGAAAGAAAAAGTTAAAGATGGCACCTAATCAAGGCAGGTATCTCGGATTTCGATTTCGATAAAAATACCCGGCTTCCAAGTATTTGATCCTTATGCTCTTTACTTTATGGACGGAGTCGAGATTTCAATAGTAATTACTGTCAGGTAGAAACTAGACTCCTTGAAACCATCCAGGATTAGCCGTTATGTTTTAGCTAAATACAGAAAAGAAAATGAGAAGTATCCAATTTGATTTAGTCGATGTGCCAGCTCTCACACACGGATGATTAATAACAGGGGTCTCAGAAGTTAACAGCACTATCAGCACGTGTTGCATCCACACTGTTCACAGTAACTCACATCTGGTGGACTCCAGCTGAGTGTGCAGCTGTTTGCTCGGACGTTCGTGATTTCCAGTGGCCCAATGGGAGCAGATGGGGGACCACGAATGTTCACCTGAATAGCCACATCGTCTTTGCCCTGGTCATTAATGAGTGACACGGAGTAGCGACCCGCGTCTTCTTTCACGGCTTTGGTGTCCATGATGATGACCTCGTCTGGAGTCACTTGAAACATGAAGCGGCCGCTAGGCAGCGGAATCACCTTACCATCCTATGTGGATGATGGCGTTGAAGATAGAATGAGTTAGTTTGGGATCACAAAGCCACTAGACATACAAAGTTTGAAAATATACGCTGGAACGAACCTTGGTAAGCTCGATGTTATCCGGTGGTGTACCAGTGTACGGGATGTGCATCGTGAAGGGCTTATCCACAACTGCGTTGATGGTAGTCATGATATTCTTGCTAACCTTCGGAGCAGCTGGGCAACAAAATACACCGGTTACTCGGTTAAACAGCACTTCAAAATAAATGATCAAGTTAAGTTATCCCTTTGTTAGACACACCCAAGTGATCGGTTAAAGTCAGTCGGCTCCCATTAATTCCACCCTATGAAGTTAATACATATTATTTTCCGGAAATTCGACGAAATTCGGTAATTGTCAAGCGACACAATGTTGATGTGCGCTGATTAGTCAGAGGAATCCTAACCAGCTTAATCACCTCGCAAATATTTGCACCTAATTGAAATATTTGACCATGTTACATGCTGGGCTTCGAAGTACGTTAAAGGAACCGCTGCACCTTTGGCACGCGATTCGAGCATCCCATTCCGTATTCTGGCTAATTTTGAAGGGTCCAACTTGCTCACCCTGAAGCCAATTTGGCAGTATTTTCTAGAGATCAAATTTATGGATTTTCTTCATTGTAACTAACGGCTTTCATCAACAATTTAACAGGTAACTCACAAGGCGGGTTCTGTATTTTGGTGCTATCGGTGGGTTCACTAGGTTCACCTTGTCCAGCCAAGTTGTATGGAATAATACGGAACTGGAATTCTTTCCCCGTGGGAAGGTTTTTAACCGTATATGCAGTTCCTGATAACTGTCCACTATTGGCTCTGAAAAGAAGCGAAAAACAAAATTGGATGTCATTCGTCAGTGCATACAAAAATATCAAACAAGTGAATAGACTTACTTTGTCCAGCCATGTTCTCCCTTGAGACGTTTTTCAACGATATATCCAGTTACCGGGCCTTTTCTTGGTGGCTTCCACGATAGGGAGACTGAGGTTTCGGTTGTTTCCTCAACGTCTGGCTTTTCCATGCCGGATGGAGGATCTAAATTTAATTGTAATCATTTTAGGGGACTGACTGGATTCAGTGTATACTAAATTCGCAGATCCCTTGAACAAAAGCCATCGCCATTTAAACGGCGGCTTGACCTCTTACAAGGCAAAAAATGCGCAAACTATAAATTCTGTGATTATGGTACACAAATTACCGAATGGATGTTTAGCCTTGATGGCAGAGGTTGTCTGAAGCGGTTCGCTGACACCTACGACATTCTCCGCCATGACTCGAAACTCATATTCTTGCCCAACTTCGAGGCCATGAACTGTTGCTGTAGGTGCTTTTAAGAAACCGCTCACTTTTTGCCAGCTAGAAGGAAATGAAAATCAAGTGCGAGTGAAGTAACTGACAATTAATCAGGATGACACTCGTTTAGCCACCCACCTTTCGGAGCCCTTGGCGCGTTTCTCAAGTACATAGTTTGTAATAGGTTCGCCACCGTCATCTTCCGGTGGTTTCCACTGAAGTGTGATCTCGTCGGCTTTGACATCGACTGCTTCTAAAGGTCCAGTCGGTGACCCGGGGACATCTAAAAATAAGGTAAGCCACTTGCTTTTTATCTGAAACACCCATTTGCAAAAAAGCCATGTTCTAGAGGACTCTACGAACCATAACCATTATTCAACGTCGTGTAACAAATTTTTATGCCTAAAGGTGGTTGGTAATGGGACGTGCCGATAACCGAAAAGCAACTCACCAATTACATTGACTTGACAAGAAGACGTAGCCTGCCCCTGGTCGTTGATGAGGCGAACTTGGTAACGGCCAGTGTTTACTCGGCGAGCGTTTGGCACAAGCAGGACAAATGTGCCTCCTGGTTCTTGTTCAAGCTGTGCAGTGGGGGTGTTGGCTGAAGGTCTTGGTGGAGCCTCGTCAAGAAGAATGACATTGTTTTCGCCAGGCTTCACGGGCTTTTCGTTGAGTAACCAGCTCGCCGTTGGTTTAGGATAGCCAAACCAGGCTACAGGGAGGCGCAATTCCTGTCCAGCCTGCAACATGGGGGAATTACAGTTAGACCGTGGTAGTGAAGATTTAGGATTGTAAAGGAAAGCCTACCATCAAGTTACCGGCTTGTTTCTTTCCTTGAACTAAAGTATTTCTACAGTTCCCTTTAATTTTTCGTTCAGGTGAATCTTTTTTGATCCGAGTTGCCTCTCACTGATAACAGCACCAATTTATGTGGTAAAACACGTAAAGGCGTAATTGGAAACATTATGTCCAGGAAGCAACTGAACGATTGTGTCCATTTACTTGGCCTCTGGTGTTCCATGAATCTTTTCCACCAATCCCAGTAGGTTCATTCTAAAGTGAATAAGCTCTACATCCTTAGTAAAAAGTCGCCACCACAACATGAAGCCATCAACAAGATAACAGCATTCATTAATGTGGCTAACCTTGTATTTAGACGACATCTTGATCACCCAAGGTTAAAACCACTTACAAAATTAGTTGTTTGAGCTTGAATTTGTGATTGCTTCTGCCTATTTATAATAACGTGGTTTATGGTGAACGGATTATGACCAACCTTGATGGTTACGTCCTGAAGTCCACCGACACCGGAACCAGGTCCCCCGATAACTCCGTCGCTAATTGTGGCGATGCGAGGTGGGGTGGGTTTGTCTTCTGCCGTGATGACGGGTGTGGGTCGTGTGGGTTCTCCCGGGCCTTCCCTGTTTACCGCGCGAACCCGTAACTGAGCCTTCTCGCCCTCTTTCATCGGCACGAACACCGATGCTTCCTTGGTCTCCAATACGGGCACCCAGTTGCCGTCGTCATCTTGCTTTTCGACAACGTAACCGGTAACAGGGGCACCCCCGTCAATCTTGGGAGGTTTCCAGCTCAACTTGGCGCCATTCTTGTTCACGCTGTCTACATTCAACTCTCTGGGACTTTCCGGGGGGACTGAATGATGGGCAAGAAAACACGTAATTTTTGCAACAGTTTAGAGGGTGTAATAGGATCTTCTCGAAGCTATGTCTACACGCTTGCTACACTACACCTCACTTGCAGGTGACTTGACAAGAAGAACACATGTTTCCTTTTTTTATTAAAAAAAGAATCTTAGGAGGCGTACTCGCACTTTCACGACGTTTGAATTGATTAGGACTCAGGACCAATGGTTGATAAGTTTCACTTGTAGTGATCAATTTGCATAATCAGGCATCATACACCGTCGATTAACACGCCGACTAGACCGACCGCCACTTAATTTCCATTGCGAATACATCTTACTAGTTCACGACTCATGAGGTTAGTTCATGGACGAAATAGACAGAACGTACTGTATTATGAAAATTAACGATGCATTAAAACTTACAGATCATATCCTTTACTGTGTGAGGCTTCTCAAGCTGCGCGTAGGCACCTGGGCCTCCATCGTTAACTGCACAGACACGGAACTCGTAAGTCATACCCTCATCAACGTTGGAGAGCGTAATTTTCGTTCCCGGAACCAAATTATTCGTTGCCACCTTCCAATCGCCTCGTGGGTGCAGACGTTTCTCGATTTGATAACCTTGTGTTAGACATCGAAAAGTCATAAAACGCCTTCTGCTTTATGATAGCAATTAAACAATATTAATTTCACTCAGACAAACCTACCTTTGATAGCATTGCCACCGTCACTCTTCGGTGGTTTCCATTCAAAAGACACGGATCTTTTATCATAGGACACAATTTCAAAATCTTGCGGTGCGGATGGAGGGTCAAACGGATTCTTCGCGAGCACCGAATTTTTAGTCTGGGCAGGAGCTGATTCGCCCATGTTATTTACGGCCTTAACACGGAATTGGTAAAGTTGCTTCGGTTGCAGGCCCTTGACTAAAATTTGGTTGTCCTTGATAACCCCGGACACTGGTTCCCAGACGCCCAATGACTCACTACATCGCTCAACGATATAATCTGTTAAGGAATAAGAAAAGTTTAAACAACTCCAAGAATTTTGTCATTCTACGGTGATGAACATACCAGTGATGGGTGTCCCCCCATCATCTTCAGGAGGTTTCCACTTCAACATACAGTGCTCAGCAAAGACATCAAAGACTTCCAGATCACGAGGAGGCTTAGGTTTATCTAAGTTTACATGAAGAAGATCATTATAATAATGCTACTTGCTATTTCAAAGTTTTTAGTTTAATGCCAGTAAAAATGCACATCAACATTCATCAAATTCGGGTCCTCTGAAACCTTAAATAAAACAGCTAGGCCAAAGAAAATTGGCATAGTGCAGTACTTTGGTGGAGAAAAGAGACAGGGTGAAGAACCAGTTTCTAAATTGCGATATTTGGTCTATTAGCTGGCGGTGAAATTCAAAGCTCCTGTGGCACCAGATTGTTTATTAATGGGAAAAATGTTAGCGATGTCGAGAGGAATAAGGCAAGCATTTCGAAACATTCTAGACTTTAAATGTTGAATATGTACAGCTATTCACATCCAGTAATTTGTATTGAGACGTCTACGATGCAAATCCCTTGGTAGTTTGACGTTTCTTATCCCAATAAAATACTCCAAAGAAGACGTCTACATACCGTCAACGCTAGGCCGGAATACCAGTCCCACCTACTGCGCAGAGTCACTGACAAAAAATACCACTTATCGCTTTACTTTAAATTGTCGGCACAGTAAATCAGATTAATTTAGATGTGTTGTACTTGCCCATAATGATAACACTGATCTCGGCCTCGTCTTCCCCATATTCATTTGACAAATGGATCTTGTATTTGCCAGTTTCTTCGCGCACCGTTCTGGGAATGTCGAGGGCTGCTAGTTCTTCGGTGTCAGTGAGCTTAGCGGTCATTGGGACAGCACCTCCGTCCTTCGTCCATGTCACAGTCGGCTTTGGCGCGCCCTTTATGGGGATGGGAATGCTCAATGGCTCCCCAGCGCGCAACCGAATCTCGTTGCGTGGACCTAGGAGGTCGCGTAGTCTATTCTTATCCAACTTCGGTGCTTCTGAAAACCCAAAGACATAATTCTGTTTCATAAAATTACAGAATTACAAATTGAGTTTTTTGGTACCAGGAGAACGTATTTTCAGCTAGATTTGCATGTATGAACTAGCAGTGGGTCGTGTTGATTCAAGTCTACCCACTGTCTCCGTACCCTCCGACGCACCACCCCCATTTCACAGAAGGCCTGTCAGTCGTACGGGGTCGCCTGTCGGCCGTTTCACTCATCCGGCCATTCAGCCATTTGCACATTTACAATTTCACCCAAACCATTCATCAACAACTTCATTAGTTATCCACGTCCTTGAGTGCTCACATAAACACAGCAACATAATTAGGTTCGCCGTCTAATAAATAATTGCCCCGACATCTCGGGTGTAGTTGATCTTCCCGGGTATAGGCGCAACGTAATTGGGCCAAAAAAGGCATCCCAAGGACCACATACATGAGATTTCAACAACCCAATACCGCATGAAACGAAGAGTCGTGTCGTCTTCGCATACGATGCTGACGCGTCTAAACTTGTCAAGTGTGTACTTTAGCACTCCACCCACACCTGGTGTGTTGCCCCCTGTGAACGCACGTGATCTTTAACTCTACGTTCCTGCACACAATCAACACACCCAGCTATCGTGTCTCCGTCCCACTTTACACGTGAGGCAGTCATTGTAGTGAATCGTGTTGATTCACGTTCAACACCCCAGCCGTCGCAGCCTCACACACGCACGTCCCCTCTGTTCACGACCTGTCCGTCATTCACGTGAGGCCATTGGTTCATTAACCACTGCGCACGTCCCACCACCACCTGTTTAGTCATGTGACCTCACAGACACCTGTGTTTATTTTTGTACATGTCCACTGAACCGTAATTGTACACGACACAACTTGATTGAGGTATCTAGTAAACGGTAGTGCCTTCTCCGCTCGTTTTATTTCTTGCTGGAACACAGGGTAACGTATTCGGCCTAGATTCGGCCTAAACAGCACCGAGGTTAACCATCGATTCTGCTGCCCAAACTGCCATAAACATTTTCATACCTCTACGGATCTATGTGTTTGGTCACGAGTCCCGACAAAATTTCAGGCTCAGTTCATATTTGTCAAGGGGATGTCTGCACAATCTTCTCATTAAGTACTTAAATAGGTGTGAAGGTCTTACGGTAGTCGAGATAAACGATCACCATCTGGTATCAACTGTAGCAAAAGACGTGACTTTTGGCTATACCAACGATAGGTCAGTGGAGGATTATGGTTATTGAAACCCATCCTAGTGTTAGATTTCTCGTGAGTTTCTGTTTCCGAAGAAATGCTCTATAATTCGTGGCAGCTGACCACATAAATCACTGGAAAAGTGAGTATTTGGATAAGAAAGTCAAAACACAATTAGAATTATAGAATGAAAATTTCCATGCTGCAAATACATCTGGTGAAGAAACTCTAGATAAGGGGAAACCTCGGAATTATTCCAGGCTGAATGCTTTGAAGCATCAATGACTGTCCAGACTAATTTTATCTACCTGGTTTTCTTGTCTATTTAGAGGTGTCCCACTAAGGTACTGAATAACAACTTTTGCCTCAATTTTCCACCCGAGTAGCTACAGTATGAAAACGCTGACAGCTATAACAAAATGTCACCTCGACTAGGTTTGGCAGTAACGAGGTCACTAGGTTTGCTTGGAGGGCTAGGACCAGCCTTGTTGACGGCGATGACGCGATACTCGTATTCTCGTCCAGCAGTCACGGACCCATCAATGTAATTGGTGTCCGGAACGGGTTTCAACGTAACCCTGGTCCACCTGCTGGATTTTGGCTCCTTACGCTCCACATGGTAGCCAATGATGGGCGCGCCTCCGTCGAAAGCAGGTGGTTGCCACTTCAAGTCAATGCGATCCTTGTCGTGATCTACAATCTCTGGTTTCTCCGGCGCCTCGGGTTCGTCGTAGGGGTTTTTCGCGATAGTCTCTGTTTCCGCTTCCAGCGGTTCGCTGGCTCCCTGGTTCGAAACCGCGGAGACACGGAAATCATATTTGTTGCCTTCAATCAACTTGGGTACCGTACAGGTTGTGCCACGCGTGACTTCGGCCACTTTCTCCCAGCGGCCCTTCTTTGTGTCCATCTTCTCAACGAGGTAATATCTGAACAACGGAAGAGAAAGACATCATGTCTGCCACCTTATTAAATGCTACGCGAGAAAGCATCCAGATAGTTTGTGCTACGCCTACATTTGGTTATCCTGTTCTCATAGTGACTAAGGCCATCGGTTAATTAGAGGCTGATAGTCTACACCTAGAACTCCGAATTCAACCTAAGTTGATTACTGGAAGATATGAGCACTTGCATGTCCAATGCTCCCAATGCTTGTCGCAGAACCAAGTTGGGATTTTTTTCGAGGCAGCAAAAATGCTAAATGTGAGGTAACTTTAGCATGTTCGCGTCAAGCTTAGAACGAACTGCAACAAAAATGTATTTTAACTTGATTCAATCGTCTAGATGGCTGTTTGGGATCTGTGTGAAAGTAAATAGCATGTGTAGACTTCAACCAGGAGCTATGAAACCACACCAAGCTGGACAATGAATAAAGACAGAAGTTTAACATTAAGCTCATGTTCTGCAGAGACGAAAAAAGTAGAGACTCTTAGAACTTTAGTCGTTAACTACGACGGATGTTCTGATTTATCTCAGATTAGACCATGACAAAGGGAAAAACTTACTGTATCGGTTCTCCACCATCGTCGCTAGGTGGCTTCCATTCTAGAACGCAGGAATTTTTAGTGACTTCCTTGACCTCAAGAGGGCCTCTCGGTTTAGTGGGCTTGCCTAGGACGACCACCTCAACGGTGGCCTCGTCAAAGCCAACCTCATTGGAAACGACAAGTTTGTAGAGTCTTGTGTGCTTTCGTTGTGCATTGTTCACCTTTATTCCACTGTCGCGGTTGTTAAAAATCAGCTCATACTCATCATTTGATTCCATAGGCTTAAAAAAAACAAGGACAAATACGAAATTGTCAATACATTCCTTCGTTTGGCCCAAAATGACTTATATTTCAGAAGGCTTCAACATTCCGGATAGCCACCACTAGCAAAACTATTCACGTATCATACCCTGATTTTTTTAAAAAGTTCGTAAGTAAAATTGCAAAACAAATTGAATTTTTGCAGTGCAGTGATGCAATTCTGACTCAAAAAGTGAGTTACTTATGGGGCGTCTACTTTCGTCTACTCACGGACAAAAGCGTACCGTTTCATCTGCGAACCATTTTACTTCTGGGTCAGGTTCAGCTCTGTAACGAAGATTTATTTCGAAGGGCTGTCCAACTTTCAACTTGATGATTTGAATTCTTGATTTGTCTATCCATGGCTTTACTAAAATGGGAACCACAAAATGTTTTAAAAATACAACTCTTTAATGCAAAATTTACAAAATTGCTTCGCTCAAGCAGTTTAAAAACGTTTCCATCAAAAGTGCGCAGTATGATTAGCTGTAAGGCGAAATGGTTTATAAATTGGCTAAACCAATCTCAGATCAAGTTACGGATTCGAGGCATAACGGAAATTGAGGTAAGTCATGATCTTCATAAACTAAAATAGAAAGAGCGGGGTGAGGAGGTGGTGGATAATGGAAACATTTGGGAAGGCTGAAAGGTGATGGGGAATGTGGTTTCGGAATAAGAAGTAATGAAGAGGAAAGATGGCGGTACTCACAGAATCGGGGCTTGGCGATGATTGGTGCGGTGGCGGTGCAGGGATCGGATTTGCCCGCCTTATTAACCGCAATGACACGGTATTCGTAGGTCTCGCCCTCCTTCCATGGGATAGAGGCTTTAGTATCTGGGGTCTCCTTCACAGTTACCCAGGATTTGTCCGGATGCTTTCGTGTCTCAATTATGTAGTTCTTCACTGGGGCTCCGTTCTCCTTCCTTGGTTTCACCCAATTTAGATCCACATGTTCAGCATCGTAATCAGCAATCTAAAAGCAATAATGCCAGTCACTTCATTACGGTTTTCAGACAAGTCAAAAATGCAGAGAAATCCTTATACATCCCTAAAAGAAGCACTTGTGCCTATCGAGGCGCCCTACCTTTAAATTGCCTGGCGGGTCTGGTGGGTCGCAAATATCGCGAGCCAACGTTTCTTTTTCAGCCTCCAAATAGTCTGAGGGGCCTTCTTGGTTGACAGCGCGGCAGCGGAATTTGTATTTGTTACCCTCCACAAGCGGAACATCGCACTTGCATTCTTTCACCTTTTTAAGTGGCTTCCACTCGTCCCCAGCTGTCACGTCCATGACCTCCACTTCATAGTGCGTAATCGGACACCCGCCGTCGTCTTCTGGTGGGTCCCACATGAGGGTGCACTTAGTGGCCGTCAGTTCACAGACATCCAACGGACCCTTGGGGGGCTTGGGACGATCTGGCGGGAGGCGAAAAAAAGCCTACGGTAGATCCTTCTGCTGATCATTCAAAAATAAATTTGGGTGGAGGAATTTCAGTTGATGACTCTTGCGTAATCCCTGGCAAGAGCACTGCTTCCCGCTTCGAATATTGGATGAAAGCTTGGTGTCTTTGGTATTTAGTTAAGAGTATTCTACAGTGGACCAAGTCTAACTCCTAGTAGAGGTACGATTCCAGTTAGGTTGCCTGAGCATCAGTGAAGACACTACCCAGTTCAAAATATTTTCAGGGAAAAAATTCACTTTTCCGTTCTGCTGTTGTACATATTCAACCGTCTAGCTTAAATCAACATCCTATAATAAATGCAACTTCAATCAAGACCTCAAGTCGCGGTTTTCAGTTGAAGAAGCAAACATAACAGCCCTAGTCGCAGCACACCAAATCAGCATGTGAATAATCAAGATATACACAGTTGCACAAGTTGGCCAACTAATCCCATCTTTAAAATTTATTTTCGACAAATAACCAGGAAGGAACAATTTTTGTAAGGATTCGTATTGTAAAACAAACAAACAAAGACTTACCGTAGACATCAATTGTGAAGGGTATTTCGGCTTCACCCATGCTGTTGGCCAACTTGATTGTATAGTTTCCAGCATCAGCCCGCTGAGCGTCATCCAACTCGACGGCAACAGCGCCATTTCTCAAAACTGCCTTTAACTTCACGTTCTCCGGTAGTGGATCTCCATTGCGTAAAATTGTCATGTTGGGCACAGGAAAGCCTATAGAATGGTAAGTGCATTTTGAAAAAAATTATTAGCGGTAATACTGTAATGTCCAAGATTTCATAAATTATGTTATTCGAAACCTAGCCCAGCGCTTCCTAGATCAGTGGAAGTATGAAACGAACACCCAGTTTGATCTTATTTTTCCACAAGTTAGAACCTGGAATATCTATTAGTTTCCGTACTAAAGTATCTAAGTTTATCAGTAAGGCTTTTCGAAGGATAGAACTTCGAGTTCCCTGTATAGAGGTTGAGGTATTAAAAACACACTTTAAACATGAGAAAAATTAATTCTCACATTGATTTGCAAGCTGGAGCATGTCACTGCGATCAACACCAAATCCATCATGGTGTCGCAATTATATAATTCAAAACACTACTATTGGGAGTTGTGGAAAATTCTTCCTACAGAGTGTGGAGTTAAAGCAACCCTAATGCATATACCTTCGTAAATAAACCTGGTTACCAGGTGGCAAAAACACTTTTTTTCATACGCCCCAGTCAGTTTCGGGCACGCGGTTCCACTTAACCTTTAGCTTGACCCATGGTAAGGCCCTTAAGGGGAGATGTAGAAAACATTTAGCATTGCTTGATGGATTTTGCAACTGTAACGCTTCTACTATTAAATAGGGAATAAATATTTATCGTAGTTTTTTGAATGCAAAATTTTTACAAACTGCGGATCATGCAAAAAGCGTACCTTTAAAGGGTACCGCAGTGGCGAATGCTGCGCCCTTTTTAAGTTTTAGGTAGTCGTCGAAATTGGCGAGATCAACCGTTGGTGGTTTCTCGCACTCGGTGACCTGAGGAGCAGAAATTCAGAATCAGCACTACAACCGGTCTCTAAGGTCCACGTGAGACTATAAACAATAAAACTTGGGTGGTGTCTAAACCGAAAGCCAGGTCAAATGCGACGTGGTGCACTCACCCCAAGTTTGCCCTTAGTTTCATGGGCACCGATTTTACAGGAGTAAACGCCCTCATCATCCAGTTCGAGTGACTTGATGATGAGGAATAGCGACCCCTCGGCCTCTTTAGTCGAAATCCGGTCGTTGAAAGTAATCTCCACACCATCCTTGTACCACTTGACTGGGTATTTTTTCGGATTATATGCCCTGCAGACCAGTTCTTTGCTTTTTGTCTCGATGCCATTGGTGTCGATTAAATTTTGCTTGAATTCCACGTCAGCTAATGGGAGCGCAGAGTAAAATAAGTAAAATTTGCATAAACAGTATCCATGGTTGGTAGCAATACTTAATTCTAATCTGACCTCATTATTGAAGTACATTTAGTAAGCGACACTTATCGTTCGGAATCATCAATTCTCCTATTTTTGTTAATTACGTGGTAGATCATTCTAAATTAAATTGTAGCATAAATAGCAGTGATGTTCAATTTGAAATATTATAGGATGCAAGTTTCGGCGAAATCTGGAGCTTACGTTTGACAACCAATCGAGCTGACGTTGTTTTCTTGGCGACCTTGCAAGTGTACGTGGCATCATCGTCCATTGTGATGTTCTTGATTTTGAGGATGCGTTTCAGCCGTGACTCCGATAAAATTTCATATTTATCACTCGCAACAATTGGCTGAAAGATCAAATGTAAAAAATTGAGCTACAACAGTTTTCAGGTTTTCAGCACAAAATTCAACTGCTCACAAAGAGGAAGAGTACACTTGAGGTAGAGCCAGCTTAGAGATGGAATTAAAGCCCTGAATCGAAGTTACAGCTACAACAGCATCACATCCACTCAAAATCTGAGTAGATATATTTATGAGCCAAATGTCCTGCGACCATAATTTTAGCGGATCTACTCAACTACACAGTAGTTGGTTTTATGAACGCAGTCGAGTCAAGTTTTTCACATTAGAAACTTTTATTGTCAGCATATATTTGAAGCCCAAAATGTACTCGCGCTTCATGTGTGAAAACATCACTAACTCCTTATTTATCACAGACTCATTGTCTTCGCTAAAAAGGTCAACATTTGACTACTTGAGAGTTCTCAAAATGTCAGCACAAGGTTTGAGTAAAGAGCGTTTTAGTGTGTCAGCCTACAAATTGACCATCAGAGCAACTTGCGTACCAGGTTGGGAGACATTTAGCACTTTGCGAAATCTCTGCAGTGATACGTCCTCGGTATCCAGTACGCGAGGTTTTTTAGCAAAGTTTCAGTCGCTTGACTTTTTCAGGAAAACGAAACGTTAGCTTGTCATAGGCATGCAAGGAATAATTTTAAGTGTTACACACCTCGTCGTTCTTGAACCACTGAACCTCTGCGTCGCGATCCGAGACCTCGCATTCAAAGGTGACTACCGGATCAGTTTCGAGGGCGTTCTGCTGTTTGAGTTCGCGATTGAAGAACCAGTCAGGGTCTTCAATGGCTACGTCCACAAACGTCTCGTCGCCTTCCACCATACAGCTATACTCGCCCTCAGCTTCCGGCTTCGCTCGGCAAATCTTCAGGATACATCGGTTTTCTCGACGTTTCAACTCAATTTTTCCGGCAACATACTGAAATCGATGAAACCAATAGAATGGCTCCATACTGGTTGGTCACCTGTTATCGTCTGCATTTGCTACAATATTTTATCTATTTCTTTAAGTAAATCAACTTGTCTGCCAAAGATTTCTTTTCCAGAGTACTCATTTATTGGAGGTAACTGAGAAGCAACTTCCTGAATATCTGACCATCAAACCTATTTTGGAATTAATTTCAAGCAGTGAAGCTACAACCCGCAAATCAACAGAAATATCCGCAGCTGTAACCTGATATATCTTGTTTAATTTTATGTGAATTCTTTCGTCTCAAGTGTAATTAATTTAAGAAGTTTTTGATATCATGTATTATTGTATCTACACTCTTGTGGAGAGAATCAGCCTAACAAATTACTCGTTTGTTGCTGTCAAATCACTTTAATTGTATAAGCTGGAGCCTCAATCAGAAAATTTTTCCACTGATTATTGCACACTTCATAACAGGACAGTGTAAAGGGCTGTCTGCGATTCTAAAACTTAAGGTTTGTTTTATCCTTTTTAAGGTAAGATATGCTGGAATTATTAACGAAGGTGATTATAACTGACATTTCAACGTGCTGTTAACTTGAATTGCTATCCGAGGTGATCCCCAAGGCACCATTGACTGTAAAAAGTGCCTGAATCCCACGTCTTCACAGTTAGACCCAGAAAATAGGGAGGTGTAACCAAATTCACCTCAGATGAATTTAGGCTGCAGCACTCTTTTAGCTTAAATTAAATTTGTTTTGGGTGGAATTTCACGCGTTTCCTGAAATATGAACAGCACTAAGTTACCTAATGGTAAAGTCGACTTCACTGATGAGATTGCAGAAAGCAGCTAAATAAGTACAACTCATTGGCTGGTAGTTAGGAAGTTCCCTTCCACACAAAATAATTTAAGTTGACTTGCGTTCTTACTTCTAGTTTGTTGCCTTTATGATACCAGGTGACAGGAGCACGAGGGTCCGAGACGGAACACTCAAGAGTGAGATCTTTGCCTCTGACCACCTCTGCAGTCTTTGGGAGTTTCTGATTGAAGTAGTAGGCATACTTTCTCTCTTCAACGTAGAGCTGGGCGACTGTTGTGATGTCATTACATTTACACGAATATTTGGCTGCGTCCTCCATTGCGATATTCTTGATTTCTAGTGCATACTCGTTCCCCTCCCTGGATAAAAAACGGTGCTTGATTTTAATTGTAATGTAACAGCAAGTACGCCTCCGAAATGATTAAGTTCAGTCTGAACTTTTGGTCGAAAGTGATGAATTTGGACTTCTGTATGATTAAAAATGTTGCAGAAACATACCACATGAGCTTAATTAAAAAACGAAGAAATGCTTCAAAGTTATGAGTATGGTCTTAATGCAAAGGATAAAACTTACTGAAGAAAGTTATATTTTGGACCTTGAAAAATTTCTAGTTTGTTCTTGTACCATCGGAAGCGGGCATTTGCCTTGACAAATGTACATTTCATTGCTGCTTTTGGCTGTCCTTCTTTCGCTTTCACATCTTTCAGCTCTTCAATGAATTTTTCCTTTTCCTGAAAAAAACAGAAAAAAATGTCATGAAAATTTACTCTGATATGTGAATAGCAGCATAGTTGCCAGAGGCGCATATTCATTCACCAATCAAAGTCTATTCGGAATTATGTCGTCCCCGACAAAAAAACAAATAATAGCACAAAGTGACTTTTTTTTCAACGATCGTGTGATATTCCATACATCCTGTGCAAATAGAATTTGTTGGATTTCTACCAAAGCACAAAAAAAACAAACCGTATTTGAAGTGGGTGGTTCTGAACTGAAAGCTTTAGTTTTTTGAAGTTGATGACATCAGCAATTAAATTAAACTGTTTTTAAAAGTTTTGAATATATCGTAAATAGTTCTTTAGCCCCCGATTCTGCATAACTTCCACCAGAATCCACCTAAAATCAGTAGTTGCTGTGACCCACGTTGGTTCACACTCGTTAATCCGTTCACTCCAGCCACCGACATAACGTCCCCCTCTTCACAGCGTGTCGTCAACCGCGCAGATCCTCAACTTCCCCCCCCCATTAGCGCGAACGATTATTCTGGATTATCACTACATGTAATAACTTTGACCTAGATCTCGATGTTAGTACGTTGATTACTCACACTGTTTAACACACCTGAGCTTTTAATACACACGCGCAAAGGCCACACACGACACCAACTTGGTTGAGCTGTGAAGTAAGCGGTTGTGTCAACGTACTCTCCGGTCCGGGCCTGATAAAAGTCAACGGCCCCCGGCGTGGTTCAGGACCACATGGTGGGGCACACAATAAAGTCATAACTCCTCTTAGCTCGTAGTCGGGAGTGAAAATACATTTGGCGTTTAGTGAAGTGGATAAAGTTAAAGCCGCTTCTGAGTCCTTTATAAACTGTAACTAGTCGCCGTACAATAATTGTAATACTTGATAGCTGTAGATTTATTCACAAAATGCAGAACATTGGTTGCGTCGTAAACTTCGTGGTAAAGGGGTATGTTTAGAGACAAGGACAGCGAATATTGTGGGAAGTAATTTAAGACTGCAAGTTGAAGAAGTGGTCTTTGCAGCTGAAGAGGGATACCAACACCATATCAAGGTTCAATGGTTCCATAATTCGTGATCTTTACGAGTATCTTCCTAGTGTTACGATAAATGAGAGTGTGTATGCAGGTCACAACCTGAAAACATCCCCTTTTAGTTAAACTCAAAGTTGATGGTGACTGAACTTACAATTGCGAAATTAAAGTGAATCACATCACGATTTAAAATATGAAAAATGGCACCAGAAAACGACTTTTACTCATCAATAATTTCTCTGAGATTCACGAGAAACCAACCACGATAAAAAAAGGTTGGGGAGCTACTATACTAGCCGTAGGTTTTGGCACAGACTCATTAAAGTTCTTTCAACAAATGCATAATTTTGAGAGCCGTGTTTAGAACGGTTCGGTCTATGCATGAGAATGACCTCCAGTTTTGTGGAGGCTCGACATTACAGGCAGATGTGTGACGCTGATTTAAAAACGGAGATATCAAGCGCAAGATTGATAGAAAAGGTTAAATTGGTTCATCGAGTGGGAGATTTTTGCACTAACCACTTTAGGAGCCTCCCTGTGCTTGAGCATGGGGAAGCCAGGAATGGCTTCAGCCAACGAGGTCCGTCGACTGCTGGCAGAGTCACGCCGTGCCTGTAACTGTTGCTCCAGCAACTTTGGATCAAGGAGGCTCGGCTTCGGCGAAGTGCCCCGTATCTGTTTTGGACAAAAGTCAATACAATTTCAATTGACAGCATTTTTGTTCACATATTCTGGCATTCAAATGTTGAAAAACGAAAAGTAAAACAAACGATCAATGCCATCTGTGCTAGTCCTAGCTATCTTCACATATTCGGGACTAGGCTTTACCCTTAAGTTATTCAAACCACCTACTTCGAAATTTGCCCGCTTACTTGGTAGTCAGTCCCATTTTGCTTATCGATAAAGTAGGTTTTCGAACGATGATCGACTTAGCCGTTATATGTAATGTTACTTCTAACTGAACAAATGTAAGTATGTGTGGGAACTTTATTAAAGTCCACAAAAGCATTATTGAGGAATGTTTTTGCTGAAAACCGACAACTACTAAGTGACTCTCTGGCCAATGGCAAGATTTGTGCCCGATTGCAATGCTCTTCAATTGGCACCAATTCATGCAGGTAGCGTGTCTGCAGTAGAGACAAAAAATGACGTGCAGCGGATTTTTTCCCTCAATACTACTCTCATGGTTTTTGCGATATGGATATTATTTTAAAGGTTTCTAATCCTCCATAATAAGAAGAATATAAATAGACACAGAAGTTATTACGTCGGAGGGCCGTCGGCTGCCAGGATTCGGTGTGCTTAGTAGTTCGGGGGTCGCGTCGTTTGCTCCTGTGTTGTCCATTCTAGAAAACAAATAAGCTGCATTTTTTTGCGGTGACTACTTTTGATGTTGACTTAGAGTGCCATAAAGGTTTTGTAACATGGCCTTTCCTCTTCATAGTTGAATACAAAGAGTTAATCCTGGTCAACATCCACTGCACTAAGTACCACGCAGCTTTGTTATGGCATTGTTCACTTCGACTGACAGAATACACTGGTGTTTACAATGTGTTCAAACTCTGACACCTACGTATGCACTTTTCATTGCTGTGGCGCCTAGATTTAGTATGCCGTCTTGCGAAAGAGAGAATAGTACAGACTTAAAATCGAGGCACTCCAATAAAACAAACTACCGTAAGCGCCAAGACTGGCAAAAAATCACTTGCGAAATTCACGGCATGCTGAGTGACACTTTAGCAAACATGAACGCATGCATAGATTGAGTGCAGTCAACAGCTGAGATGTATAACACGAATGGTAATTTACGAAGTTATTTCCAACACTTAGCATTTAAAAAGGAATGTGATCCATTGAATTACCAAATAGTGTAAAAATTAAGTAACTTGCAAGAGTCAAAGTACTTTCATAGGTCAGAATCTTTCCTTCAAGGAACAAGTTTCACTGCAACTTCACTTTACCATGGCATATGTCTTTAAATTAATGCTTTTCTGTGATAAGCAGTTCATTTGAATATATTCAAAGCTGAACTGAAAAAGTACTGCTCTCTCAGTTTACGCTAATGTTTCAATCTTGGCTATCGTACACATTTATAGCTCCTGTCTCCGCAACACTGGAATGCAAATACCTTAAAACCACCACAAGGCTATTCACGCGACAATCGTGTGCCTTTACTCACATTCCGTAAGTTGTTATTCAAAAATGTTCATCAGCACTCTCAGCTAACATCGAGATCGTGGGTCAGAAATTGGCAAAACTTAATTTCCTTCCGTCTTCTGTACCGTATCATTTTTGTCACAAAAAGCCCTGTGAATTTTGATTTAATGGCAATGATCCCACTCAAACCTAGACTTCACTGGGTTGGATTAAAAAGTTTAAATTTGGCGATGAGGTGTCTGGTAAGAAACGTGAAATGTTATTGACGATGGGCGTTTGTGCAATTCCGAAGCATGCGTAAGCAACGGCGCAGTCGCACACACCAGGCTGCACCACAAGGGAAGCATTACTCGCAAGCGGTTGCAAACAATGCATGATGCTTGTGTTAAAAAGTCAAGGACCAAGTGATTCAGGTGCTATATTTCATTCAGGTGTACAAAAGTAAAGGAATGTCTGTTGTCAGAAGTAAAGTCGAGGAGAGATTCTGAGGATTGTAGGTCGTCGACAAATAAATGGGGCCTTGAAAAACCTATCAAGAACACATTTCAGCTGCTTTAAGACGTGGTCCTAAAAGCCTTAAATTAATTGCTGTTTTCTTTTCATTCATCTGTATGAGATTTTACGCTATAACTATCCTTTTAACTCTACTAGAGGCATTTGATTTATAATCTCATTCATTTTGGCATAAATTAAAGTTTTTTTTCTGATAATGATATGCATAACATATTCAGCAAAACAGCATTCTACCATGTGTGGGTTCTTCGGTATCCCTTTGAGGTTCAGCTCACAAAGACGTGTAGATCAGGATTTAAGCCACAAGCTCTTACTAGAACTCACGCATAAGGAAAGTCGTCCTTCCGTCGCGTTTCTTGTCTTAAACCAGTTATAGATTATCAAATAGTTGGAACGAGGGTGCAAAGTTGAACCCGTAACGCAAACACTGACTTTGCGATAGAATCACTTTGGTTTTGTATCGTCCATTGGGCCCTTTTATCCCAGTGCTTAGCTTTCAGAACAGGACTACTCCCACCCTGCTCCCGATAAAGTTGATCAAAAAGCCTATTTTCGACATAAAAAATCGAAAATGTGTAAGGCTTTGGGGTGGGCAGGTGGATGGTGCATTCTGAGTGAGCAACTGAGTATGGTGGATGCCTGTGTGAGTCTGAACGCGATGTGCCTACAAAACAAATGTTTGCAAAAAAGTAAGGTTGTGAATCAAAATCGTCTTTCTTCAATCACATGTTTTACATTGGAAAACAGAATGGTCTAATTTACGTTCAATTCGGAAGTGACATTTGTCCTAGTCGTTTTCGGATTCGGATGTTGACTAGCAGTCCAAGTGACTGGCCATATTTCCATCAGATAATTTCTTAAACTACGATCATAAAAAAGGTTAATGGGAGCCAGATCAAACCACATCACTTTGGACTGCTTTGAAATATCCGATAGCAATCAAATCACTGTCATTGATGAGGCCTTATTTTGCTCCGTTAATAATTAGTTACTCATGGATTCCACCGCTTCTCCCTACAAGCTAGACTGAGCTGAACTTTAGGTACAGATTTCGCAAAGAATAGCTGAAAAAGAAAGCGGAAACTTCACTACTTGACTTTTTCAGTTTGGTGTTTAGTTATATGGTTCTTAGTAGGGAATGAAGTGTAAGGGGATAACAAATGAAATATAACAATGCGTATGAATGCATGTTAACCAATGGAAAATTGCAAATAAGTAAGTTGTTAGTAAACAGACATATGCAAACAACATTTAGTGGGTGAAAGCACATGCTTGATTGAATCCTCTTACTAACCTCCTTAACGTAGGAATGGGTGACTTCCACTGATCCATAGTGTATACTTTTCTTCGTCTTTTTTTTATTTTCCGTTATTATTAACCGAAGAAGAGCGTTAGCAAATTCTTCAGGGATTGTAATTTAAGTGTCGCCCTTAATTCCGATCCGTCCTACACCTTGCCAATGCCTTCCGAAGACGTGCGTGTGTGCATTTGTAATGACCTTAGAGGGAGGAACGGAGGACTGCAAAGCGTGTAGGCGTGCAGCAATCCCGTTTCCCCATTGGCCGAATCCCCTGCTGACAGCGAGGGTGGCTTGAATCGATTTTGGCCGCGTGTATGTGATTATGTTGTGTGGTTTCTACCCGGACGCGTAAAAAATATCCTACATAACACATCATTGTCTTCATCATATAGAAGCGCAATAATTATAACATTCTCGCCTGTCGATTTGTCAGCCGGATGCATTCGTTTAGCTGCTTGAAGTGTTTTTAAAACACAAAAGCTGGAATGTCGATTCAAACAAGATCACGCTAATTACAAATATCTCTGTTTGGCCTCGGGAGAATTATGACGCAGTGACATTTATTTTCGAATTCGCATGTGCTCGATTGCTCGAAGAAAATATTTATATAGTAATTAACTCAAGTTGACTTTAGAAAATTAAGATCATGCGATCTGATAACTCACTTCTCCACCACAGTCAAGTAGAAGTTGGCGGTGTCACAGATCTTTCCCCCGGACAGAAGCTGAACTGTATGAGGGCCGGTATCTTCTAATTTCAGTGTTCGGGTGGTCACATTGATGGATTTACTTGGATGATCCACTTTAATAATAACTCGTGGATCTGAAGATATGTCAACTCCCAGGTGTAGAAACTTAACCTCGGGCGTTGTAGCCCCATCGTAGCTACACCCGAGAGACATTGTCGAACCTACAGTTAAATCGAACAGCACTTATCTGCAATCAGGTGTGAACACACGGGTTAAACAGATAATGATACTTGTCTGTGTCAGCACATTTAAGCATGCTTGGCGAATCGCAGAAACATCAAACAGAGGTAGGAACAAAGAATCACAGAAAAATAGCACAACAAACGACCTACCTTCATTTTCAGATACATCGCTGGGTTTTGAAGTCAGCTTGGGCATGTTGCCTTTCTCTTTTTCTGAAGTTAAAATGATGTAACACAATGATTTAGACGCATTTTTAAAATTCTGTTAAATGTGTCCACAGACGTGTTACTTTTAGCAACGGCACCAAAGCTCCCACAAGGTCATGCACTTTCTTTAATAACTAGTCAAATAGACGAGAAGTACTAGTTATCTGGCACATGGTCACCCATTGTAATGCATATATCGAGTGTGTTGTTGGGTATTGGATCTTGAGCTGATACTGATTTTCTTGAAAAAACATGAGGAAATTTACTTAAAATCATTTACACAAACAGCACATAAAACCTGGTACTTTTCTCTTAAAGTGTTATTATTACGACTTTTAAGGTAACAGTAACATTTTCATCATTACACTGTGGCGTTTGCAATTCTAAGAGTGTGTTTTTACACCACCCTAGGCAAAGCATTACACGGATTAAGTAATATCTCCAGCAAATATGAATTAAAAGTACGACAACAAATGGTTTGAATTATCTAAATTCAAGGATTTAACAAAAATTGACGTAAGATTAAGTAAAATTATATTGACGTCAGTGGTCAGAAGAAAGGAAGATTCGCATACCGGCTTTAATGACAAATTGAACCTTTGTGGAACCGTAAGAATTGGTTACTTCGCATTCGTATGTGCCGTTGTCTGAATCAGTCACCTGAAGATAGAAATGGAAACAATGTTCCTCCTATACAGATTTTTACGGACTCGATTGGGAAGAAAATTATCAGTCTTTTCAACTTCTCTGCGCTATCGCAACAGTTCACGAAATCCCAATGCATTTGACTTGTTCAACCCGATTTTATGGCAAGATCTTTACCTTTAAAATCTACCTCCTCACAACATTGCAATTTAACATCAGCATTAACAGAGTTTCGACCAAGCAATTTCACCTTCTACCGATGTGCTATTGCGCTATCACCATATCTGAGCTTTAACTGCGTTAAACGCACGTTCTGGGGGATATCTGTAGGATGCTAATAAGGTTGGTTTAATGTATTTGTTTATCATATGCATTATTAGTATTCACCAAAAAAACGTGCATGATCACAACTGACTTCATACCGTCGTTCAACCTTTGGCTAAAAGTCATCATTTTAAGCGTTTTCATTGACCTATTATAATCACATCAAAGCATTTATCAAACAATACGAACTTCGTATACAAATTTGCGTTTATCCACGCACGTGAATTTAAGGTCACTGTATAGCTTCCCCACTGCGATCACAATTTTTCCCAATTCTTTGGAATCGTGTGTGGGCGTAGACCCCAGAGCACTAGCGACCACGGTTTTGGCGAGACGTCCATAAAAGTCATAGTCGCTGTTGCCATGTTATACTGGGGCACGGACCATCAGGATTACTTAAGATTAGGCGTTGATGAAAGGCCGTTCGCAAATACGATAAATGACCACACATTTTCGTGGCCTGTGGCTTATCGCCGATTACCTAATTGTGAAATTCAACGCGTGAAAGTTGACCAAATAGAGTAGTATTAGTCATTTGATAATGACTTTTAGAAGTAAAACGAGCCGAAAAAAAATAATGTATGAAAATCCCTCTGTCACGAGTCAGACGTTGGATCTCGACAAGGCTCAAAAAATGGCTTGCACGTCGAAGTACAAGATAATTATTATAGAAAAGCCAATTAGTTTTTTTATCAAATCAGTAGCGATTAGCCTAATGTCGTTGAATTGTCGTTACTCATTTCGAGAAACCACCACAATTAGGCTCAAGTTAACTAAAATACCTGAAAAATTGCAAGTTGGTAGGCTAGAGGGTCAGAAGGTTCTGCAGTGTTTAGATTGACCAAGGACTCTAAGCCACTATATTGCCAAACAAGTAAAAAAATTATTTGGCACTGCACGCAAGGGGATTTTGATGAATCTCAGGTACGTCGAAAAGGGATTTGCCCTGATTACCAGGTTGATAGGACTTCTCCAAACAAGGCCATAGTTTCTGGAAAAATCAACGACAAATAGCATCACACGGCTTATGTTCCTGTAAATGTACACACTTGGTAACCAAGCGCGCATAAATTCGGGCAATTATTAAATAGGCGTAGTCGCCACCGGAAACAAGGAACAGAGAGGAATATATCCAGAATAAAAACCAACTCGGCTTCTTAAAAAGGAAACAACTGTGATCTGTAGAGCACTAAATTGCAAAAACGTGTGCGCGATACTTTATGGTGTCGTGCTTTAATTTTTTTTCCGTATTTGACTCCCACTAGGTGTTCCCTCATGTAGGCAGTAAGTTCAGGTAATCAAAACACCCCATATCTAATATTATGTATTCAGATTTTTCAGCACCTTTCTATTGAAATGTCTGTAATTAATACTTTATTGGGTTAGACAAATTAACGAGGAATTGAGAAAAGCGGTGGCGGTCACTTGGTAAAGTATGTAAAATTACTTTTATGCATATCTCCGGTACTCAGGGCGAATCTTTCTTCGTTCTGCCTGAGACTTGTCGAAACCCGTTTGCCACAACGTTGACAGACTCTTTGTCATATAAAGTTAAGAGCAAAAACCTAGTTTCGCTAAAACTTCTCGCTAGGCATCAGGTTTGATTAAAAGAATTTGAGTTGAAGCACATGCATAGTTGATGGTTCAACATGCTTTCCTTATGCGTCGTAGAACAACGCACTTTGCTGTAAAAACACCACAGAACCTTCTTTTGGAAAAAAAGCCTACTTTGTAGGGTGCGACAGAAACTTACAGGATCGACGGTTAGAGTAACAAATCGCTTTGTCCCCTCCGCATGAACCGTCATCTTAAAGCGGTTGTCAGCGGTGAACGTTCTTCCATTTTTTCTCCATACGATATTAGGCACATCATCGCCTGAGTCCACCAACAATTCTACTAGCGCTTTTGTGGCGCGGTAGGTAACATTAGGAGAATCAAGAACCTTGGGGCTATAGGGACAAAAGGGAAGTGAAAGGCCATTTGCTGATGGATAAATGTGATCGAGGATCTCTACTGGCTTATAATTCAAAGGTAAATGCTTCAACCGGATGGTGGTAACAATGCTGACTTATTGCATGAAATGTGAACTTATATTAATTTCCACCGTAAACACATTAAAAAGTTTACTTATAGCCATACGTTTAGTCCTACTAGAACAGTTAAACTAATGGAATATCTAAATAATGATGTTCACGGTTCTACTTTGGCCAGTCATTGCAATTTATTGAAATTTCTTCGTGTGAGAGGGCAAAGTTGTGAACTGTGAATGCAAAATGTCTGTAAATGTGACTTTTGATTAAAAAAAACCATGGTTGCTACGACGCTGGCTGCCACGCATTAAGAGTTTTGAAGACAAATCAGGCTAGCTTTTCTTAAAGTAAGGCAAAAGATAAGCAAGAGGTATGTTAAATCAAGAAATGCGATCTCCATATTTACGCAAATATTTTACTCAAAGAATGACGATTTATGATGCTCCTATTACTTCGCGTACGTAGTTAGTCGCACTGAAAACTGATACCATTTAAATTAGATTTGAATTAACAACGACAATGGATGAGGCTGAGGACGTAAAGTCGCACCTGTAGTCAACGAAATCCACTAATTATGCTCATTGAAGTTCATTTAATAATTTAATACTGTGACCTCATTACGTATTCGACGATAATGAATATCTTCAGACCATGACGTTGCGAAAATCCTTACCCTTTAAAATTATATGGCATCCGATGAGTATTGACGTTTTAAATCATCAATCCAGGAAAAACCTCAGATAAATATGAAATTCCTGCAATTCTGATTGGTAAACACTGGTCTGGTTTATACTTATCTTGGTACACGTAGTGAATAATGATTGACAATTAAACGACTTGGTAGTAGGTAAGTCTAAAGGATGTTGTACTTTACAGAATTGGCGTCATTGAAATAGTCTAAATAAATTATGATTACAAAATAGACATATGCAGTAAAGTACATTCGGAATCCTAGGAACAAACGACGATGTGCTTCTGATGGCGGAGCACGGATATTGCAAAATCCGTGACCGCACAAATGAATGCGCACTGTGGCTTCGGGACATACTTTTGCTTATCTTCTTGGCATTCTCCGCCAAGCAGACGTTTGGTCGCAAGATCAAGGGCATGTTTTAAATCGCTAGGTTTACTCAAGTGGTAAGTGGTTTTCTGCGTTTAAAAATATGTAGAAATTTAAACATACACTTTGATTGTGTGCACTGCTTTTGCCTCCCCCACAGTATTCTTTGCACGGCAGGTATATACATCAGCGTCTGCTTCAGAAAAATTCTAAAGTTACCGGAAAAATGTGATTGAATTGTGCTTAATGGTAGGAAAAATTAGAAACGGGTGGCGCTAACCAACAAATAAAAAAACTTAACCTTGAAGAGTGTAATGTTGCTTCATCTGACGGTTTGTACCAACACAAAGGAATGTAGATTAAATGCTTGAATTTCACAAACAAGACAAGAGCAGGTAAAGTTTATCAACCTGGTCCTTTGATGGTAAAGACTTTCTTGGGTTACGTGGCTCTGTCACCTTTTGAAAATTAATGCAACAGCCTATTTTGATTAGCAAACTTTCACCTGAATCACTAATTTACTGCACTACCTGTAAGAGTCTATGTAGACCCATCGCCAGACAACTGAAACTGCCACAATTCCAAGCACTTAGAGACCCTTGTTACAAAATATTTAATTGGCGGCGTACGACAAACTGCACTGACTTACTAAGATGCGCAGAATTTGAATGAACTTCTGTTCTTCGGACTTTTCCGTCATTTCAAATTTTCCGGTCTTCGGTTTGAGTTCAAGCGCCCCCTTTGTCCAGTGAAACGCGGGGGCTGGGCAACCAGTGCAGGTAGTTTCTACGATAATTGCTTTTCCTTCTTTACGTACTGAAGGGGGATCGAATTTGGGAGCCATCTCCGCCGAGGGTTTACCTAAAGGTAGATATAGTATCTCCAATTACTGGGTTAAGTATTAAAACTTAACATTAAGCTAATTATCTGTACAGTTAAGATTAGTTAATGTGTACATTTTCAATACTGGATCAGTGTAAAGATCGTCGGGATAAAATACTGTTTGAATTCAAACCGTTTGAACATGCTATTTTGATTGGCTACTGGCATAGTATGACATGATAGGATGCAAAATTATAGGAAATTAGGAGAGTAATTACTTGAGAGGTTTAGGTTTGCAAAGGCATTGCTTTCCCCACCAGCGTTAAAGGCTTTTATTTTATAGGATCCGCTGTCATCCAAGGTGGGGTTGGCAATTCGAATTTCACAATTGTAGGCTTCAGGACCTGCATCGGTGTAGACGAACGTCAATTTGCCAGGTTTCGGGGAAATGGGTTTTTCGTTCAAGAAGTACGCCAGTTCGGGTTTCGGATTGCCCTCGAGGCGACAATAGAGAACAATCTCTCCGCTTATTGGGTCTTTTCTGATGACTGGTTTATCTGGAAATTTCGGAGCCTTTATTTGTGTCCTTAATTGTGTACGAAAAAACATTGTTACAATAACTGATGACGGATTTGAGCTCTGGGGTTGAATATTTGACACACTGTTGTGACATTTTGGTTGTCAATGGTTCAGCTAAGTGGTAGGGACGTATCTAAGAAACATTAAAAAGACATTTATTGCGTGTCCACACGTCTCCCCTTCAGCGAAAACGCTTTTAAAGTAAATGACTTTAGGGAAAGTTTGCTTCTGTCAAACAAGGTGTTTCGTAGTTATCCATTCATTTACAGGAAACCAGAAAACTTATGACGGGTGGAATCACTCCGAACGGAAAACTGTGTGAGGCCCCAATTGCGGCACCTTCGGTAACGGTACGAGTGGCATTTTGTCAAGAGCACGCATCGCTGTAAAAGCAGTGACTCGACAACCTGACCGAGTTTAGCACTTTCCCACGCCAACATGTAGTTCATGAATATCCTTGTGAAAATTTGCTATGTTAAATCGAAAATTCGTGTCAGCGAACATGACCTCCTCTTTGCCGCTAATTTTTAGTAAACGAAAAGTTACAGAGAATCAATGAATGAAGGAACTTCGATATTGGGGCGCATTAATTTAGTCGAATCGAGAATTTCGTAATAATGCGTCAAATAGTAAATGTGGTCCGTCCACTTGAATGAAGGATGGTCTCATTAAAGTTGATACGACGCTGTTGGACACGATTGCATAAAAATTAATGCAATTGGGTGCAACATTTTCGCTGTAAATCATTCGCTGACCATCTACAAGTCTCTGTATCATGACAGCAAATAACAAATGGGTAATCAGGCCTTTTCAAGGGTTACTTCCAGTTTATACATCGAAATCTAGATTTGATTTCAGTATTACTGCAACGTGAATAATAGTTCTGTAGCGAACGTTATCAGGAAGGATGACGCGCCAATAAATCAAAGTTTCTTTCTTGCGTCTACAGGCATGTGGATCACATTTTGAGGCTTCTATGTGAAAATTGATAATCTGACAATTTCTGTCAAAAAATCCAGTTGATTTATTTTTGCACTCCCTAAGCTTTTCCGGTTTTCGTTGAAAGCTGATATACATATTGTCAAGGAGTTTCCCTCAATACAGGCTCTAAAGCAAGATGAAATCCATTAAACCAAAAATTTAGCTTATTTTTGTGCATAAGGTTTTCATGAACAAATGTCTCTCAATCACCACCATCACTAACAGCAAATTTAAAAAGTGAACAAAAACTTGCTTTGCTTGTCCGAGATTGAGTTTAATATTTGCTGTAGCTTCTCCGCTTGGGTTTTTGGAAAGGACCAGATATTCGCCTCCATCGTTTGCAGTTATTTCGGCTATTCGAAGAGTGAGGATATGTCTACTTCCGTTAGAAACTGTGTTGATAGTATATCGACCTCCCGACATGATGGGCACTCCATCCTTTGACCATTTCACGTCACCGATTGGTTGTGATTCGAGAATACATTCAAACTCAACATCTTTTCCAATTTTTCTGATTTTAGTTTGCTCAGTAAATTTAGGAGCTATTCCTGAAATACAAAACATGTAGCAATGATTTGCAAACTCAAAAAGATTTAAGTTTAAATGTTATGCCTGCATGGATGCATCACCTTGTGGTCAAGTGAACTCTTCGACCTAGTGTTGGGCTTAAGTAAGACGAGCTGGAAGCACTAGTGTTTTGGGAACATTCTCATAGAGTAACTAAACGACATTTTAATTTAAAGTATGCTTGACTTCGTGATACCTCCGCGAGACGTAACATTCTAATACTTCTGAACATGTTCTGCCTCATTCCAAAATATGTCTGGAGATTTAAAATGGTTTTAATAAACTGTATCATGTCTTGCCCAACGCAAACGCAGCGGCGCTTAGGTATAACTTAAACCTTCTATGAATCTCTCTAAAAAGAGAATAACGGAACATAACTTTATACAACTTTTCACACGCATCTGAATATGATGTTAGATGAATGCTTTTCCATTAAATATGTTCGACAGTTTCACGTCCATGCTAATGTGGTAATTTATTCCGAAAATAAAACGGAGCAAATTTTGGTTGATCCAAAGGCTGCCACTGTGGGAATTCTGCATGCTTCAATTTTTTGAGATAAATAACAGGAACTCAGTCGAAGTGGTGCGCACGTATTTAACTGACACGCTTTCATACAGTCATCGGTTGTTGGTGCAGAGTGGAATAAATGTGCCTTTTGAGGGGGTGTAGAAAGGACGACTGGCGCTGATGCCTTGTGAGGTGCTTAATGGTGACCATTATTCAACAAATTTTGCTCTTTAGTTCTAATTAGCTGTTTTTTCTCGCCCTCGCTAGCCTAAGTGACCATCCATGCATACTTGACCTTGTCTGACTCAGTCTAATGACGCAATGTTTTAACTCATAAACAAGTGGCTCATCTTGGGCAATAACCTTAGAGACAAATCAGACGCAGTTTTGGAAACAAAAGTAATCGTGGTTTATTAGCCTAAAGCATTACTGTAACTACCAACTTTTGCAGATCTTTCAGCTCAAGTGAGCTCTGTAAACTTGGCCAGAAGCACACATGTGATCAAAACTCACGAACACAATACACGAAGACTGAAGTCTTAAAAAGCCTAACCATAAAATTTTTAATTATTTTAGGAATGGAAAATCTGACCTTAGTGAAATAAGTGATGGCTGAAAAAGGGGATTTACATCCAACCGCGTACTGCTTTTAGGATGTTCCTTAGCGCAAAACTACTTAATTTACTCAAGCAAACCTATATCAGAATCCAATCATAAACCCATTAGACACCTCTGTTAATCAGGCTAGAATGGGAAAATCCATCAATCAGCTCCACATTTTTAATTGAGAATCCAACAATCAAAAACAAGAACAGGGTCAGTGACTCATGTGCATCAGTGGCTAGTTTTTCATATAAAAGACATTTAGGAGATAATTTGATTACTCCGATATCTTTATAAAGACGTCGTTTCTGTCATTTCGAATCAAAGATAAATTATCCCACATTCTTTTTCACCGCCTTCTTACAGCTACAAATGGTTGGTGGCTTTCTTATTACCTTGATTTAATAAGCCGATGTAAGGATAATTTGTTCCATGATCAATTTCCTTCTTCTAGTATTCGAGTTTTAATGTACCAATAACCGTTCATCTCTGTGCAAGCAATGCTGGTCGGGTAGCCCACCAATTATCTAAACAGGCGATCAAGAATTCATTTTAAGTTAACCCTAGCAGTTAGGGGAAAAATGTTTATGAATCTAACTCCACGAACACACCTTTAGATTAATAATTGCGTCCCTAGATGCTGATTATTTAAGAGTCTATGTAGTTGAACTGCCTCAGCAAAAAAAGCAATTTGCGCAGTGAAGCAGGAATAAGGTAGTACACAGGATTTACCCAGGCCTTTCTTAATGGAAAGCTTTTGAATTGGCAAAGAATGTCAACGGAGTTAGCCTGTTAAATTTTATATGACCAGACACATTAACAAGCATTTGATTTATTAAGAAGGCCTTTATTTAGGGTCTGTTCTAGACTATCGTTATTCGCGTGAGGTAAATCATTACTATTAATTTGACTCCAGCGTCAGCTAAAAGGCCAGGCTGCGTAAAAAGGCATAGGAGAGGAGAGGTGCCACTTACCATTTGACGCCATTTTCTCTAGCTCCGGGCTGAAAGCATAGAAATCCACAGCTTAAAATCTAGAAAGTGGGTTCGAAAATGGACGGGTGACTCGACTGCTAGAAGGTTGACTTGTTCGTGGTACAATTTCCGAAGGATCGCGTGCTTGCAACAACCTCGCTGCTGTTTTGAACACGCTGATTGAATAGGATGCGTGTGGGTGTGTGCTTACACGGTTGCGCTGTCGAAAGGACTGCCTGGAAAAAAATCCAGCAAACCGATCTTTGGGACACGCTTAGGGCGTGCGTGTGTGAGTGCGTAGGCGAGACTACGATGTGGAATGACGCGAGGGGATGCGGGTTGTTGTTTAACAATGGTTTTAGTCAACGGGCCCTTACATGGGCTGGTGCGCATGTGTTACCTTATGTGGGCGTACGGGTGCTAGGCTTTGGCCTATCACAACTTCATGACAGACCACAGCACACTTCGATCTAGGCGGACGCACGCTGATTCGGATTGGGGTAGGGGCACTAAAACAGCCCCCGATTCGCGTTGGTGCGTACATGTGTCCTAAATACACACACGCAAACATGCGTGCGCCTGTTTCTATATTAAGGATAACTCCAGCAGGCGTTGCCGACTTACCTCTTCTTTGGTGACATGCAGCATCGCTGATGTGAACAAGCCGTCATTACTGGGTGACCCAAAATATAACTGTCGATCTTAGTGATTATCGAACTTCCTTAAAAACTGGAATTACCACTAAACCAAATATCATGTAAAAGACACCATATCTCTTTAATTCTTGGCACAATCATATCTGAGAAGATGTTATTTCATAAAACAATATAAAAGTGGGAAGAGTCATTTGCGAAAAGCCAACTTGTCCCACCCATGGCAAAGCTAGTGCGAGCCCCTTTAAAATCCTGCACCATTACTGCAATCCTGTATTTTGTTACCGAGGCGTGTGGTGGTGGCGGCGAAATCTGCTTCTTCCGTGATATTGCTATATTGGGCACATGGGATGCAAATCGCTTTAGCCTGCTTAATAATTCACGGGCTTTATTCGACAATGATACCCGATTGTCAGCTTTGACTGGAAGCGCCTGAACAGGCCACATTTTTTTTCAAAATGTAGTAAAAGCATGGACATCAGTGATGTGATCGTCAGGTTCTTATGTAGTCAGTTTCTTTTTTAGTCATTCGTTTATTAACCATAGATTTAATTTAGAGGTACTAGGCTTAAATGCATTGGAGAAATTTCAATTGTAGAAGTATTACTCCAGTCAGGCGAAGAGCATCTTAGTATCAAATCAAGGTTTTGTAACTGCCATCATTCGTTCTTACGACTATAGTAATTAAAAGGCTCTTTTTACATAGGATCTTGAAAACGATCTTACAACAACACGACTCTCCGGGTGTTTGACAAACTACTGTATTAAGAAATCAGATCAAAGTAATGACTCGATAAATAGGTTGAAAAAAAACCCACATTAATTTTTTTCATTTCTATAATTTTTGACTTGACTGCGGATTCTGAGACAGTATAAGTAGGCGTGCACTAGTGAAATTTGTCCTTCTTTACCTGATGATACATTGGATGACTATTCATGTTTTACGAGCATAAAGACCATGTCAAAAGCATTTCCTTGACCAAGATTTGATTTATTTTATATCATTTCTTGGTTGTTAGGCTTAAGTCGTACAAAAATCAAGGATTTCGAGGTTGCATGCATCAAATAAACTTACCAAGGTAAGCTTAAAGTATAGTAGATTCAATGAAATGCATCTCAGTAAGCTGCCAAAAATTGGAAGGTTAGGTTTCGTAAGCCTAGTTTTCAAGCGTTTCGTGGCAGTTATATAAAAATCAAATGTGACATCATTAAAAGAGAGGGCATTAAACGTAATGGTTTGTATGTATATCCTAAACAGTAACCACTTCGATAAATTTTTTGTAGCAGTTATATTCGGAATTGTAATCTATTCTTCCAAATCAACTCAGTTGAATTCTAACGGAGAAAATTGCCAAAGTAAAAGTTCGGATAAAATTCTGTTGGCACGAGATGTATTCAGAAGACACAGGTCCTTTACCGTTTATTTACAACTTCAGCATCGATTGAACACCCAACCCCACAAAACACACACCTAGACTTTGCATATTTGGCAAACGGCTGTGCCTTTATTCCGCATCTCCAATTCCTCTACACTCTCGGATTTTTGTGTGTACCAATTATGTTCTCGACAAAGATTAACAAATGAATTGCCTTAGCAACCATTGTCCATGACCAAGAGTAAAGGGAAGTACTTTTTTGAAATTGTGGTCAACCAAGAAACCCGTTATAAGCTCTGTTTTCATCCAAGTAACCAGATTATGTGAGGAGTCGAATCAGATTCCTGCTAAAGCAGAAGAGTTGGATTTAGAAAAAAGGTTACACACAACTCATTGGTGCATTCATATACTGGGTATTATTATTCGCGATTCTTTGTCAAATTTTAAGCAATTTGATGGTTGTTAATTAAGGCAATTTAGACTATTCGATCATGTAAGTGAAAGTCATTAGGATCTATTTGTTCACTTAATCGTACATTGATGTTTGCACAAAAATTAAAAATGGAGAGTAATTTAGGTCCATGCTTGGTTCAGAGGCTTTTAAATCGGATGGTATCTTAAAATTTTGTATTACTGTAACCTAAATTCCTTATTTCACATATTTTCTTATCACGCTGCATATGTTATGTTCCTTACTCATAAGCGAATTCCAAGTACGTCATACCATTCAGATTCCAGTGGCATGGAATCGAAAATTGATTGTTGATGTACATTTAAAAGAATGGGTCGATACCTTACCTTGCGTGTGAATGAGTCATTTTATGTGCTGTCCCGAAACCAACGAAGTTGAGTTCATCAAATCTTGACAGCACGATCACTTC